TTTTCAGTGACCTTGAACTTACCCAAATGACCAAGTGGTAGTGTTTGAAAGAAAAAAAATGGTACTGAAAGAAGTTTGATCCCCCTCCCATGAAATAGGATTTCATGTTTGGACCCCCCTATTCACTTATAATTTGCTTCCAACTCGAATTTTGTTATGACCCTAGAGTTTTATCTCCTTTTTAAAGACTTGATTTTCAAGGCAATAAGCTGTCATACATTGATATCAGTGTTTGAAAAAAAATCTTGTTACGTTTTAAAATACTACTACTACTAAAAATTAACTTGTCTTTATGAGAGGATGGGGAGTAACTTTAGTTACAGAAATGGCTTTGCTATTAATAGGCGTTTAAACAAACTAATATTGGTCAGAAATATAAAGTATTAGCTTAGTGAAAATCGAACAGAGAGAAGGTATTATTCCTTCATTCAAGGATACTTTGTGGCAAGTTAAATTGAAATTAACCCAGTGGTTCTTGATTAGAAGATGAAAATATAAAAAGTTTACAATGAGAACGACAACGACTGACAAGGCACAAAAGATCATAATGATCATAAAAGAGCCTTTATTTTAAAACATGTGTTACTATAAAAGAAATGGAAACCCACCTTAGTATGTATTTCGGTTACTGCTCTCTTGTACGTGTCGGTTACATTATGTCAGCTACAGCTAATGAAAATTTGACTGCAATTTTCTATCCCTAATTTCAGAAAATAGAATGATTCTATATTTTCTTGATTAATCGCTGAATGTCTATTTATAACTATACGTTAGTATAGATAGAAATGGAAAAATACCTTTACACATTATTCTTATACATTTTTGCTAAAGCTTTTTCATGCTCGTTAGTCACTTTCCGTCAATAACAAATATCAGCCGTTTGTCTGCACATTATCCATTCCCGATGTTAAGAAAAATGCAAACGTCTATATTTTCTCAAGAATTTGCAGTATGTCTATTTTCAAACATGTGTTACTATAAATAGAAATGGAAATGGAAACTTATACTTCTCATTTTGTATTTGATATAAGGCTTTCTTTTACTTGTTAGTCACCATATGCCAATAGCAGTTAAAACAGATAGTCAGCAATTATTCATCCAAAATGTGAGAAAAAAGTGGAAAAAAACTAAATTTTTCCGATAGTTTACAATATGTCAATTTTTAAACTCATGTTACTATAAATAGAAATGGAAACCTCTGCTTCTCATTCTGTATTTGATATAAGGCTTTCTTTTACTTGTTGGTCACTATATGCCAATAGTAGTTAAAACAGACAGTCAGCAATTATTTATCCAAAATGTAAGAAAAAAGTACAAAAAATGACATTTTTCCGATAGTTTACAGTACGTCTATTTTTAAACACATGTTACTTTAAATAGAAATGGAAACCTCTGCTTCTCATTCTGTTTTTGATATAAGGCTTTCTTTTACTTGTTGGTCACTCTATGCCAATCGCAGTTAAAAACAGATAGTCAGCAATTATTCATCCAAAATGTAAGAAAAAAGTACAAAAAATGACATTTTCCGGATATTTTGCATTACGTCTATTTTCAAACATGTGTTACTATAAATAGAAATGGAAACCTCTGCCTCTCATTCTGTATTTCGTATATGCTTTCTTTTACTTGTTGGTCACTATATTCCAATAGCAGTTAAAAACAGATAGTCAGCAATTATTCATCCAAAATGCAAGAAAAAAGTACAAAAAATGACATTTTCCCGATATTTTGCATCACGTCTATTTTCAAACATGTGTTACTATAAATAGAAATGGAAACCACTCCTTCTCATTTTGTATTTGATTTAAGGCTTTCTTTTACTTGTTGGTTACCATATGCCAATAGCATTTGAAAATAGATAGTCAGCAATTATTCATCCAAAATTTTAGAAAAAAGTACAAAAAAACGACATTTTCCCATTATTTTGCATTACGTCTATTTTTAAACACGTGTTACTATAAATAGAAAAGGAAACCTCTGCTTATCATGCTGCATTCCATTGAATCTTCTTTTGTTCTTGTCAGTCACATAATATCAGTTATATTTAATGACAGTAAGTCGGTAAATTTCCCATCTCTAATTTGAGAATTGGTGGAAAATCAACATTAAGCAGTTAATTTCATATGTGTCTATTTTTAGACATTTGTACTATTTATAGAGATGAGAGACTGTCCTCAATAATTTGTGAGATATTATACTATTCCTTGTTCGCATTGATGAAATATTGGAGATATCCATATTTTTATTATTTATGATTCAGTGGAGCTTCAAAATGATGGAAAAATGACATTTTTCATCATTTTATGAGACATATCTATATTTAGGCATTTGAAAGCTATAAACAGAAAACGGAAATCCCTGAAAATAATATGCATGGCAGTTATTGGTGTCCAGTCTCAGACATTAGCATATTGACTTTTATAGTATATTTCATAATTACCTAGCAATGGCATCTTAAACTCTGTCCAAATTTCATTTTTTGGATTTTTCTGAAATATGTCTATTTTTAGATACATGTTACTAAAAATAGCATTGAGATCCCACTCCAATTTTTTCATGAGGGGACACTACTAATAATGACGTTTGACGACACGCATGTGATTTGAAAAATTTCCGTAGACAATTTTTTTTATTTAACCTTAAATTTCTCAAAAAATGCCAAATTTTCCATTTTTCACATTTTGAGAAACGATGCTATTTTGCAGAACCGTTTTCTAAGAGTGGGGTCAATTCTGGAATAACTGGTTATATGCCCTGTATTTTTTAACAGTTGACGTTTTCTTGTGATACAAAGATTTATATTTGAGTTCACTACATAAAGATAAAAATGCATTCATATTTCCTCAATTTTCATGTTTTTGTTTGGTCAAAAATGGCCGAAAATGGCCAAATTCAATGGATCCGTCTCCATGGCAACCGGGTGCACATGGGAAACTTCTAACACCATATTTGCTGGTTTTGTACCAAGGTGCACCTGTGGTGCAAATTTCATCAAAATCGGAGATTTGTCGTTTCCAAGCCCTATAGTAAATTTTTTGGTGCTTACAGAGAATGCATGTTAATTAGTTTATTTAGTACTCAGGAACAGAGAAGAAGATTTTCAAAGAAATAATGCATTTTCAGTATATACCGTATATACTCGCCTATAAGTCGGTCCGCCTGTAAGTCGATTGTATTTAAAAAGCTTATATATCATTGGGACTGACCTCATATAATACCATTCATTTTATAGCTCGCCTATAAGTCGGACATAGAGTTTTGGACCAGAAATTAACTCCCAAAAATCCGACTTATACGCGAGTATATACGGTAATCAATAGAGCCCCACCCTAACACCAGAACCCCTGACTCTGGGGCCATAAAATTCATAATTTTGGTAGAGGCACTCTTACTCATCATAACTATGTACTTAATTAGTTTATTAAGTACTCAGGAACAGAGAAGAAGATTTTCAAAGAAATAATGCATTTTCAGTATATAATCAATAGAGCCCCACCCTAACACCAGAACCCCTGACCCTGGGGCCATAAAATTCATAATTTTGGTAGAGGCACTCTTACTCATCATAACTATGTACTTAATTAGTTTATTTAGTACTCAGGAACAGAGAAGAAGATTTTCAAAGAAATAATGCATTTTCAGTATATAATCAATAGAGCCCCACCCTAACACCAGAACCCCTGACCCTGGGGCCATAAAATTCAAAATTTTGGTAGAGGCACTCTTGCTCATCATAACTATGCACTTAGTTAGTTTATTTAATACCTAGGAGCAGAAAAGAAGATTTTCAAAGATTTAATGCATTTTCACTATATAATCAATAGAGCCCCACCCTAACACCAGAACCCCTGACCCTGGGGCCATAAAATTCACAATTTTGGTAGAGGCACTCTTGCTCACCATAACTATGTACTTAATTAGTTTATCTAATACTCAGGAACAGAGAAGAAGATTTTCAAAGAAATAATGCATTTTCACTATATAATCAATAGAGCCCCGCCCTAACACCATAATCCCTGACCCTGGGGCCATAAAATTCACAATTTTGGTAGAGGCACTCTTGCTCACCATAACTATGTACTTAATTAGTTTATTTAATACTTAAGAACAGAGAAGAAGATTTTCAAAGAAATAATGCATTTTCACTATATAATCAATAGAGCCCCGCCCTAACACCATAATCCCTGACCCTGGGGCCATAAAATTCACAATTTTGGTAGAGGCACTCTTGCTCACCATAACTATGTACTTAATTAGTTTATTTAATACTTAAGAACAGAGAAGAAGATTTTCAAAGAAATAATGCATTTTCACTATATAATCAATAGAGCCCCGCCCTAACACCAGAACCCCTGACCCTGGGGCCATGAATTTCACAATTTTGGTAGAAGACTCATTGCTGATTACAAACATACCAACAGTTTGACTGCTTGATATCCAGGAGTAAAGAAGAAGATTTTTAAAGATTGCACTAATTTTAGTGCTTTTTGCCCCACCCCCCACACCCCAGGGGGGCAGGGACCATGAAATTCACAATTTTTGTTCCCCTTCACCCATAGATGTTATATGCCAAATTTGGTTGAAATTGGTTCCGTGGTTTCAGAGAAGAAGCTGAAAATGTTCAAATGTTAATGCACGACGGACGACGATGGACGAAAACGGATAGCAATAGGTCACCTGAGTTTACTCAGGTGACCTAAAAATTCTGTCTCTGAATTAAGAATCCCATCCCTATATACTTCAGTGTATGCTACAAACATTTACAATATCTCAGTAATTCCACTGTGGGATGTGGAGACCAATCCTCCGGATGAGACCGAGGTTCCGTATTGCAGAAGGTACTGGCACAAAAAGATCTCATTGCTCAATGGCCGTAAGAGCCGAGCATAGGACAAAATTTGCAGCTCTCCACCGACAAGTGGTGGGGTCTCCATGTGAGTGAAAAATTATCAAAAGGACGTTTAAGCAACAAACAAACAATCATATTAGCACATGCGTACCTGTTTGACCAGCATGTTGTTGCCGACTAATGAGGCGGTCATGTCGCTGTTGTTTTTCAGGAAGTGTGAGATCCAGTCACTGAGGGTGGGGAACACCTGGTACGTCATCGAGTGACTGTGGTCTATCTCATCCTGTGGGGAGGGGACATTTATAGAGATGATAATAATCATTCCATTACTATTAATATAAATCACAAAGTATGTCAAATAATTATGTCATGCAAATATTTACAAAAATTAAGAATGCTTTATAAATGATTTAAATTAAATATTAAGCAAAATATTTTTTTTTAATTTTAATCACATGCAGTGCTTGTGTTAGACACATATTAAAGACTGAAGAATATTTTTTCTTCAACATGTTCAAAATTAATTTTTGAAGCCTTGCTTTTTAAATCAGCTTTGATAGGCATTGTTTAAAATTTAAAAAAAAAGGATTAGTGAATCACATCAAAATAATAAAAATCCCATTCAAAAAAATAAAATCAAACTTGTTTGCTAGAAAATCTTTACTACACTAAACTGAACATTTTATATTTTATGCATTTTCTGCCAATACCACCCATCAAATTTTAAAAACCATTTTCTTGTACAAACGACACTCAATAAACAAAAATACTTCACAAAGAACACAATTAACATAAAAACCAACTAAACAATTTCAAAATCACATGTACACATATTCTTAAACATACCAAATTGTTCTATAAAGCAAAGGGAATAGACAAATTAAGATTAGGAAGAAGCAATTGTGTCTGTGCTCAAATAACATTCATGATCATAACTTTACTGGCTTTAAAAATCTGTAAAACAAAAAATTAGCTAAAATGGAAGAAAAAAATTGACATGCTTGAGAACTTTGTTAAATAGTTTATGGTGATGATTAGTGGTCAATGAGGATTTTTTATGTGGTGATGGATAATCTTATTAATCAAACAAGTTCTAGTTTGAAAAAAAACCCAGCTTGCCTCAAAGAGGATTCTGTAAAGTAAAATAAAAATACTTTTATGCAATTTTTCATTTTGACAATGGATCAAATCTTTGGATTTCTTTTGACCCGAACCTCCCCCTTTTCCTTTTAAGAGACTGGATTTTTTTTTTCAGACTAGAACAAGTACTGATGTGCAGCTATACATGCATTCAATGGATTACTCTGTAAATCAATTATGTATATATATTCATGCAACAATTCATTCAATATAGAAAATTAGAATAAAATGGGATGAACATTAGGGTAATATGGTGCTTAAGTAAATTGTAAGTATTAAACAAAAGATGCTTGCATGTAACATAGACAATGGGAGAGTTTTCACTTTATTTTTAACTTCACAATTTGTCATCACGTAAAATTTTAGATTACTTGAATCAAATTCAGATTCTCTTTCTAAACAATCTACTTTACTGAAAAAAAAGTTAAGAGATTGCATGTGTTATTGCATTTAAATTAAAAAGTAGCTCATCCCAGATCTCCTATACAGGCCAGCATCACAGCATGCAGTTTATGCATGTTCTCTTGCTTTTCTTTTTAAAAAAATAATTATTGGTTCTTTCTTTTTTTTTCCCCCTCAACCTGTTATACCTTTCTGGATGCATGTGCAACAGGGCCAACAATTATTTTAGATATGGTCTACAAATAAAAATGATTTGAGCAAAAAATAAAAACATGATCATGCTGAATAATTTCCTACGATGGATACCTACCGCTTTTCTTCCCTTTTAGAGAAGCATGAAAATAAAGACAAATTTAATTTTTATACAGAATCTGAGCAAGTTTAAGTCTTTATAGGTACTGGCTGTAACCTTCAAAACTAGGAAAGAATGCTGAGGTGTGAAGCAATGTGACAGATGACGTACACAACATTTTATTTATCCTCAGACGTTTGATGTGCATAAATCAGTGTAAACAAGGGTCAGAATCTTTTTTGTTTTTGGGATAGTAAATTTATTTATTTAAATACATGATTTTTTTTTACAAAGACTGGCTTTAGATGACTATCCTTCATCAAAAAAAGTAACTTGCTCTGGTGTAACAAAAGTCATGATGGTTGAGTTAAATTTCTTAACAAAAGTCATGATGGTCGAGTTAAATTTCTTAACAAAAGTCATGATGGTCGAGTTAAATTCCTTACCATTCAATGTCTCAAAATAAGTGTGTTAGGTTATCAGCAACGCTTATTGTATATTAATTTCTTATATTGAAACATTTCAGTGACTCTGAATTAGTGTCTCTAATCAGTGAGGCAAAAACTGTGGGTGAGTGTGAGGCTTAGAATGACCTCTGAACTCTGAGTGACAACTCTGGGTGAGTGTGAGGCTTAGAATGACCTCTGAACTCTGAGTGACAACTCTGGGTGAGTGTGAGACTTAGAATGACCTCTGCACTCTGAGTGACAACTCTGGGTAAGTGAGAGGCTTAAAATGACCTCTAAACTCTGAGTGACAACTCTGGGTGAGTGAGAGGCTTAAAATGACCTCTAAACTCTGATTGACACTCATTACCCATTTGATGGTGGTACTCATGGTATCAGATTCTGAATCTCTCCATGTATTCAATGCTGTTTCACTGAACACAGATTTAGAACGATGACCAATCAAATTATAGTAGTCAGATAAATATTGCATCTTAAGTGGCTGATCGTCCCCAACTCTGGACTCGTCAATTTGAGGAAGTTTAAGAGTGTTTCCCAAATGTGTGGATTTTCTTGAAATAGGACGAGCAGTTGTTGATCTAGATAATGGACGTATTGAGAAAGAGGAGAGTGGTCTATTGTCAGATTCTACCGAGGGACATCTGTTCTGCAAAACACAAGCTCCTTACAGTGAAAACTGGGCAAAACAGCTAGCAAAATGCATGCTCCTGTTCCAAAGGATGACTGGTTAAAAATGATTTAAGAAGTGAAGTGTAATTAAAGGCCAATGAAACGTCAGATTTGATAATGGCATCACTGTAATTTATAAGAAGTTCTTTATATAACTTTACGTATTCAACATACAGTAAAACTCGTTTAGTACGAACACGGATATAGCGAATTCACGGATATAGCGAAGTTTTTCTGGGTCCCCGGCAAAATTCTTAACAAATCTTTGTAAATTTTTACGGTTATAACGAACTCTGATATAACGAATTTACGGATATAGCGAACTAATTTTGAATCCCGTTGAGGTTAAATATAATGAAATTTACATCTTTTATAACGAACTTTCCAAGATTATTAAAAAAATGATAAATTGAACTTACTTTATTTCCTTTCAGCATTTGTATATTAAACTCAATTCATAAGAAAACCTTAGTTATCGATGATATGTTTTGTTATATTTGCTTCACTAACATAGTTGGTAGTAATACTTGAAAGAAAACATGCATTGTGCGAATTCGCTATAATGGTTATACAAATTTGTTATACGGATATAACGAACTACGGATATAGCGAATTAAATTCACAGGTCTCCAGGATTTCGCTATAACCGAGTTTTACTGTAGTTGTTTTTTTTTTAAATGAATTCATACTCTTCTGTGCTTATAAATTGCTAAGTTTTAACGAAATCTTTGGTGAGGGAGAGGTCTACCTATATAAAGAACAGTGGCTGTTGATGTATACTGAAGAAGCTGTGCAAATATTACAAGCAATATAAGAGGGGGTACTGATTTCTCTTCTAGGTGCGGGGAATTTTTGAACTCACTAGAGAACTTTCTCCTTCAGTGACCTAAAAATTCCTCTCCATTATTTGAATGTTACAAGAAAGGAACGAAAATACACATCTATCATGGAAAACTGTGACTTGAAAACTTGAATACATAATAAAAATTAAACAATAAGGATGTTTAAATAGTAATTACAAAGACATGTTTTCATTTCCTGAAACATAAAATATGAAGAATCAAAATGTGAAAAAATGATAATTAACCCCAAAGCCTAAAAAATAGTTGACAATAGAGTTAATGAAATAGAGAACCTCTCATTAATAAAGTACTTTAATTATCAATAGTAAGAATTAAGACCATCTTCCAAAATGTAACATAGAAAAGTAAAATCCTACCTCAAAAGAATCGATTTCATCGTAGATATAGGACAGCTTGACTCGATCAATAACTGAATGGTTGTCACCAATGTCAACAAACATGGCTGCAAAAAGTATTTATCAAAATCCATAAATTTTAAAACTTGTGTATGTAACTTTTTTTTTATGTGTGTAACAGCAAAAGTCTAATATTGACCTTTAATATCATTTTCAAATAAAAGTCTCAAATAAATTGCTTAGCAATGTTTTCAGAGATTGATAATTAAGTCCGAGACTGATAATTAAGTTCAAGACTGATAATTAAGTTGGAGATTAATAAATTAGGTCACAGATTGATAATGAGGTCAGACTCACTGATGATAAGGTCACAGTACTGAGACCTTAGTTTGTCCGGCAGACGGTCATCACTCAGACAAGTAAATGCTTCCTCCCAGGTCAAATAGTTCAACTCTTGGGTAATGACCTTAATTGAGAAGTCATTCTGACCCTGAAAAATTCAAGATTTGGATTTGATAAACATTATGTAATTATGTTTGATAAAACGTCATAGACATGATGTTGCTGTACTAAAAAGTTTACATAAAACCTTAAAAAATAGTGCATTTAATAAGTAACAGTCTACATATATATTTATGCCCAGCAATTACCAGAAAAGATATCTTAATTTAAAACAATTGTACACAGTATTAGTTAAAAGGTATTACATTCCCACAATCATTTTAAAATTATGCCGACCAACCATTTAAAACACCTACATGACACAGATCCCCGAACAGTTCCAGCTGATGTTCCAGGAATAAATACTCCTCCCCTGAGCGATTCTTGGCAAAGTCAGCAAGCTCTATCCACTTCCTGCCCTGATTGGTGGACACATACACGACCCCATGCTCTTTCCCAATCTTTTGTCCAAGATCAGTGTAGTATACACAGTTTTGCTAAAAAAAGGAAGTAAATATATTTGATCCAATAGTTTTCAAACCTTTCCAATTGGTTTAAAAATAAACAAACCCTAAATAATGACCTCAAATATGGCAACTGATTACAAAAAATTTTTTTGCAAAATATAAGACCATTTATTCATATATATTTTGAAATTTTAATTTTTTTGTTTGACAAAAGAAACTTTACTATAAAAACAAACTGTTTAAAAACAACTCTTACTCTGTTTCCTTTCATGAGCCAGACCTCTGTAATGTATTTCTGATTATCCGGGATGGACACACCATCACAAACACACAAGACAGCCAAAAGATCCAAGTACCTGTGGTTCTACAATAAAATTACTCTAATGATTAAACCAGCTGTACTAATTCATGCTAATGCACATCCACATTAGTAATAGTAATTTATTTTATTATATACTGTATACCAACTTTAATTCACATGTGAGAATTATCCGGGAGTTTCCCTACCTACTTTGAATCGCGAATATTAATCGTCATGAAGCATTATTTTGCTTTGTATAAATACACATTAGCAAAAATTAATAGAATTATTTAATTTAAAAGATTTTATTACATATATCACAAAACTTTGTAGCATTAAATTATGAATGTTTTGATGGAATAAAATTCACTATTTAAATGAAAACTGGTAAAATTGAACAAACATACAAAGTGAGTTTTATTAATCAAATTTCTCAAATATCCCCAAAGTTTTATTTTGTTGTTACCTTGTCTCTCTGTAGTAGCTCCACAAACTTGTCAATGTGGGCATGGGAAATCCTGTCCACAATTTTACGGTTGTCTTTGATAAGTTCCATAACCATGTGAGCAGCATTCAAACCAATTTGACCCTGAATAACAAAGAGTCAAGTGGCTTACATTGCATAGAAATATCAGGGTATATAAAACCTTTATTTGAAAACAAGAGACCCATGGGCTGCAATGCTCATCTGAGCCACTTTACTCTGCTTTTGTTCTCCAAATTTGTTTCCTCAATATATCTATGTAAAACTATTATCCCCATCATGGTCTTGCCCTGTTTGGGGGTTTGGGGAGCAGCGGCGATGTGCCCATGATTGGTACAAAACAGAACCTATATTTCCTGAGATGCTTCCAGATAAACATGACCATAAAACCATGACTTTGCCATTCTTGAGATCAAGATTTTTGAAGATTATTACTTCCTTACATTTTCATCCTTTCTCTTGTGGCCACAAAAGATCACAAAAGGCAATTAACATTTAAGAAAGGGCACTTGGATATGATAATTTTCTGTGATAACATGATAATGTCCTATACTGTACCTCCTTAAGCTCAAACTGCGGCAGGAAAAAGTCAATGTATTTTGCAATATACAACTCATTCTTTCTACTGTCTCCCATCAGGTATGTATAGAGAACATTGTAGGCCTCCACAAATATCTTTGTTAGATGGCTGGAAAGAAACATGTGGTTAGTCTAGTTAAAATCTGAATATTTGATAAGATAACAATTTTAATCATTTAAATTACTTATTTCTTGACCAGCTGAATAGTATTACATCCTTTGACCAAAAGAGCCTTTTACTACAATATCAAAATTTCTTAAAGTTTTTTTTTTTAATTCTAATTTCATGGAAACAAACTTTCAAATACATTCTAAGAATGAAAAATTTGAACCTTGCAGAAAGGCAAGTAACTTACAACTGATCGGGACTTCCCCTAAATGGGATTTGTAATAAGTAAATCAGTAACTCCACTATCTGAAATAGAAACAAAGTCTCTGATGTTATGTCTGAATAGAAATATGAATTCTTATTTGCTACATTATTATTTTTAAGATATGTCACCTTATTTTAATGTTCTTATGAAATTTGTGTGAAATCAGATCAAGATATTTAGTTGTACCTCTCCTTTTCCAAATATCTTTCATCAAGTGTTTGCATATTTTATTTCTACTCATAATTTTTAGCTTACCCTGTTTAAAAGTAGTCAGAAAATATTTTTTTTTTATCAAAAACACTAATGTACAACTTACCCTGAGATTTCTCATCAGTTTCTGTCTGTTTTTCTCAGGCTGTCCATCCACAATCATGTAACTACTGAGTTCTCCTAAAGCCTGCAAGAAAACCCAACCAAACAGCAATATGAAAATTCTGTGAAATCTCAGAATGTTTTGAAAATTTCATATTTTTTTTTCTTCACATATATAAACTAATGGACCAACTTACAGTGACAGTGTCATGAGCCATTTTAGCATTCAGCGTCATTCCAGATCTTTTCTGAAAATTGCAAAAATCCAGTAATAATCAAATGAATTATAAAATATTAAAATGATGTAAAATAATTTTATTTTAGTGAATTATTCTCCCTTGCATATTTCTTTCTCTTTGGGCTCTGTTTATGAAAGGAGAACAGCAATATGAGCCTTTCTTGATTTTACAGATTACTCAATTATATGTTTGTTCTTTGACCATCTGATATCAAGTATAGCTGGTAATTAACTAATCCACCATATAGAAAAAGCTATTATCATAAAATTTTACAATTTTGAAATTTCATTAAAAAGTCTGCTTTTTCATTATTGGTAAATTATTTACATTGTTGTTTATCATCTTGCTGATAACATGTAAAATATATATCTAATGAGTGATCATCAAGAATTTATACCTGTTTTATCTACATTTTTTTAAAATTGTTTCTATGTCATGTCCTAACAATTGACTCACATATAAACTTATGGACACTTAAACCCATTCATCCTAAATTCAATAAATTGATTTTTTCTTCAATCAAATAACTGGGAAATATTGATTTTTCTTTCTTTCAAAGGAGTCATTTTCTTTCAAAAGTGCAACTCGAGCTTATTTTGCTTAGCAGTTGTAAAACATTTATATTCTACCACTGCATTCCCTTTAAATCTGAAAACAATGACTACTTCAGTATGTTAGAATATCAGGGTATTGGAAAAACCATGTCACAGTCAGAAAATTTACACTGCACACAATCATGAATGAAGTACAGTTCTAGAAATAGGACAAAGTATCCACAACAAGAACTATTCTGATGCTAGCAGCCAACTTTTGCTATAAATTATTCAATTATTTAAACCTTTAGCTGAGATCCAAAGCATTTTTTATCAGTGTCACAATTGCTTGAAGCTTTAAAAAAATTTGGCACCAGTGTTTCTGCTATCTTGACTGAACAATCAGAAAAGTAGACTACATCTAATTCTGTCTATATGTGCGACACATTAATTGTGGAATTTAGATTTAAAAATCATAATATTCATGCCCTGCCTTTCTTCCATGGTCTTAGAATAGGAATATTTTCTTCATATTAATTTGATTTCCATCTTAAGTTGTTTTTCAAAAACCCATAAATATCAACTCATCTACATTTCTCATAATAAAATAATGTTGGGGGTGTTACAATATTACTTTACTTTGTCTCTCAGAGAAATATACCCATTTCTCAAGGACTTGCTTATAAGTTGGGCAGCAAAGATATTTATATATTAAAACTTAACTTATGATAAGCTCATCTTGACTTCGTCGAGGTGAGCTAAAAATCTGACGTAAAGGTGAGCATACACAGTAATCATTTTTGGATTGATTGCACACACAGCATAATGTCCACACTTACATCAGCCACTAGTTTCTGTATGAAGGGCACCATGCCAGCCATGTGATGGAAGATCTCTACGTGTTCATCTTCTACGCCCTGTATAGTAAAGGCATCATCATACTGCTTCTCTTCTATTGTCCCAATCTACAAAATTATACATACAGGTATTACTAAGCAGTGTAAATTAGAATGCTCTAGCTCCTCATAGCAATATTATATTCAAAGCAAAGAATATTAGCTTTCTCTCATTATAAAATGCATAGAAATTTTTTTTTTCAACATATTAATTTTGTCTTAATTCTAAATGAAGTATTTTTATATCAATAAAAATATCCCCTTTCAGTAATTTGATTTCATATATAATGTTTTATCATAATTTAAGTGTTTTATAGACACACGTAAGATATATCTAGTAACACACAGTTTTGTTACATATACAGTTTACTTCAAAACAACAGTTTTAAAACAATAAAACCACATAAAGTTCTACACACAAAGTCATACAAAAATAAAAATAGGATGTCATCTAATAAAAATAAAAACATATAATGAAGGTGCTGCACCCTTTGGATATAGTAGGCTTTTTATATTCCATAAAATCCTATAAGAAGAAAGCATTTAATCTCCCTCTTTCTTAAATTATACTGAATTTTAAGGTTGTGCATATAAAAGCTTATGAAAAGAAAAAAATGCATGTATCTATACTTTAAATTGTAAAACAAATATTCTAGTGTTCACTCAATCTATGGTCTTGTTTCAATTCAGCTGGACTATCTGCAAGAGCTATGGGAATAGCACACCTACTTGTAGTATACCTTTACTTTCTTACAAATTTTACCTTCGACATAATAAAATTAACCTACAACAAATTAAGAGTGACTTTTTAATAGCTCTGAGAAATGTTTTAATTGAATCTTAGCGAAATTTCTATAAGTAAGGGCTTGAAGTAAGGACATTTGGTTTTTTGGAGTGCAAAAATTAAAAATTCTTTAAAAAAAAAAAAAAAATATAATATTAACTTGTAATCATGCATGGTTTACACAAAAGCCTACTTCTTACAAAAATGCTAACTCCTGCATGCTTTTCACACTTAATTTTCATTCCAAATAATGAATAACATAGGATTGACAAATTCAAAGACTTGGGAAACAAGTGTATATAATCCTTTTTTGGTGATTTTTTTAATAGGTACATGCAATACCATTAAGTATACAACATATAGGCACACCAGCTGGCAAGTGTTAACCCCTTAAACATGGTATACATGCCATAATTTTTTTTTGAATTATTCATATTTTTATTGTCATTTCCAAGGTATTTCCTAAATGTTTTGTACTATGGAGTGAATAAAAATATAATTTAAGTTATCTGATTTAAAAAAAAAATAAATCTTAGTATTAAAAAGTTAGTTTTATATACACACAAACATACACACTTTCCTTTTTTAATAATATTTCAACAAACCCTGTACTGTGTATGTACTATTTGTTTTTCCTAAGAGATCTTGTATATGTAACAGAGTCAATTCTCCATAGATTTTATTATCAATAAATTTCTAATATTAGATACATAATTATAGTACCCTTATTTCCATCCCTCTACCCATTCCACATTTTACATAATGCTTTTGAGTAGCTATACTGAATTATTTCAATGTTTCTGATCTAACTACAAATACACACACAGTACTGGGTTCCACTGACTTTTTTCCTTTGTCAATGAATTGCAATGAACTTTGATGAACTAAATTACAAAAACTAACAACAATAAACAATTAATCAGTCTTGAAAACAAAAACAGTTCTTAGTCAATTTAAAAAAAAAATATCCACATATGCCATGTATGCAAGGGGCATCAGTCACCTATGGCCAACCACTCTTTTACTCACGCATAAAGTCTGACTCCGTTTTTTATTGACTTTCTTTTTGCCACCAGCTGTAGTTTGGCTTGAAAATTCTGGGTTCTGGGTTTAAATTTCAAATAACAGAACTTATCAGAACACATAAACTAATTACCAGAAAGTATTTTACTTGTTATTTCAAAAGATTAATTAGTATGTGGAAATGTTAGGTTTTAAAAAAGTGAATTTTCATGGTTTTGTGATTGACTGTTCTTAAAACACTGTCACATCCTTTTCATATTGTCAATGTTCAACCCATGTCATGTTAATTGTGCATACTTTTGATCACAATTTCTCAAAGACTCATAAAGTGGCTGGGATGATTTGTAACAGTACACTGCATGTCTACAGTGAGCTTACCACACTCCAGAATGCAGGAAAAATTCAATATAAGTACCTGAACCAAATCTTTCTAGAGCAGAATTGCAAAAGAAGATAATACAGTCAAACCACATTTTCTCAAATTTGATGGGACCAAGCAATAGAAATTTCAAGATATCAAGGGTACAAATACATAATAATTACAGTCAATTCTCGAATTATCGCCATTCGATTCATCGCCATTTTCGCAATACCGCCATGATTTCCCAAGAACGTTTTTCCTGCTATATAAAATTCTCTTTATAACGCCAAATTCGCATACCGCCATCCGCCACCCTGTTTTCACAACAAACGTCCATTTTTAAAAAATTCGATATACCGCCACAGGTGTGTGTGGTCAGTGAAGCGCGGCTAATTGGTTGACACTCTCCCTGTAAAGCATGCAAAGGCAGACGAGGTACATGCAATTAAGTGATTTAATTAGAATTAAATAAACAATTTTAACATGAACTGTTATAATAATTTTGTTTTCTGTTTTATAGAAATCATTTAGTCACGGTTTCGCCACGAGCGGTTGTTGTTAAAGTACGTAATCCGATAACGATATTATATGATGATCTCTGCTTTAAATAATGCAAAGTTTGCTGAAAAAATCATTATACGGTATAAATTGTGAACGTTTCATTAATAATGATGCCAAAAACACTGAATTAATTCAAGAATTAATTATACGTACTATCGGCAATATATCATGACGATCAACCCAGCAGGATTTTTCCCCCAATATCAGACGTGCAGATTTACATGCATACACATGTACTTCTCTTTATTTCATAACTGCACAGTTTATTTTAGCGAAATTGTACATTTAAAAAAAATATTTGAAGAATTTATAATCAGAAATGTTATATACATGTACATGTAATAATAAGATTAGAAACGCTAAATGGTATTTATAAGAACGGTAACTCTACTAAGTCTTCTTGTTTTCTAAAAGACTAAGATATTCAATTCATCGCCAAATTCGTTATACCGCCATGATTTCTAAATTACAAAAGGTGGCGGTTTATCGAGAATTAACTGTAGTTGGACTTCCAACTCTGTCATATCAATGGTATTTGAGATACTAGAGTTCAGTTGAAGATACATCTCACAAAGTGATTTAATAACATTTAAAAAATTGGCAAAAATTATGTCCTTTATAATACATGTATATATAAAAATTTTATACATTTCTAAGGAAGCTAGTGCCTCAATGAGATACAGCTTAAATTCAACCATTTTGGGTCTGTAGGTAAAACTTGATTCTGACAAGGGCAAACTTACCATTCCTTGAAGTGAGGCCTGGCAGCATTGTGAAGACAAAATTAACATAAAATTCAAACACAAAAAATATGGACTTAGAGGACAACCTTGACTTACTACATTTAACATAAGTATCACAAATGTCTAGACAATCACCTTTCTAAATCAGATTTACTGGCTTTACAGAGAAAAATGATTGGTATTTATGATTTTAATGGGAAAAAATATGGATGAAGGGTCTTCAGAGTTTAAACTAAATGTGATTGGAAGGGGAGGGGGGTGTCCCAACCTGTTTGAGTTCAGCTGTACTCCACTTCAGTGATGCCATTGATTGGTTATCCTCTGTCTTTACAACCTGTGTTCTCTTGTATTCCTCTGTAATGATTTTTATATCATAAATTTCTTACACTCACCAATTTATATATATTCTAATGAATTGTCTCTGTCTTATCATGAGATTATAAATTCCCAATTCTTCATTAAACACGATTTATAAAACTGCTTTGGCCTTTCATGAAATACATAATTATGAAACATATGTTTTAAAATGGGGAGCAAATATCAATTTCTGCCCACTCATCTATCCTCTCTCTCTTCATACAGAATGTGTATGGTATAAAAATAGTTTTTCATATTACTTCTAAGTTATGAAATAAATCTTGCAAAAAAATTAACAGAGCCAACTCCCAATTTCATTGAATATTTTTTGGTTTACAATCAACAAGTAACAGTACCACTTTTTTCTCCTTTTTTCTAGCAATTTTTTTTTTTACCTGGAAAGGCATGGAGCCAGCTTCCTGATACGACATGCTCAATTCTACAGTAGCTGTCCAACGGAATGTCGTCATTTTCCTGAAAATTGAAAAAAATAATTAGCTACAACTTTGCACAATTTTGATTATTTCATAAATAAACATCTGGGTAAATAGACAATTAAAACTTCTCTTATAGATGTTACAACAGAAAAATAATGTTAAGCATTACATTGAACAACAAGAAAACCTGTACAGTTTTATAGTTTTTAGTCAGCCGTGTTCATAAATTAAAAGTCACAGATACATGTACCATATAACTATAGTGTGTCAAGAAATACAGCAGTATACATGGACATGTATATATAGTTATACATATTTCTAATATCATTCTTTAGAATTGATATGCAATAATTTAATACTTAAGTGTTCTACATAAATAGATGTACAGTAAAACTTGTTTGTTTATTAGAAAGTTATTTGGACTTCCTGTTTTCTCATAACCGAGATTCCTCATCTCTGTACAAGACATAGTGAAAAGTCCTTTGTGGGATTCAGAAAATAAATCTTCATCATAGCCAAGTTTTTTTTTTCCAAGGAAGTTCTTTATAACCAAGTTTTACTGTACATTTTATAACTGAGTTTTACTGTTTCATCTTGCAAGATATACTATTAATATACTGGAAGTGTCAGAGAAAAGATTTAAGTGAATAAACACAATTTTATATGAGTTTGATAATGCTAACATGAAAAAATACATATGTTATTTTTATCTCACACAGCATTTGTTTCTTTTTCTTCTATTATTAAAAAAAATTGTTATGAAATATTTTTATTATATGTAAGATATCTTATGCTCTAATATGACATTGCTATCAAAGGTCAAACTTCACCCAATGTTGTAATGAAGCAATCATGAACTGTGAGATAAAACTTTGATTTATCATGTTTAGGTGGCATCCAATAACATATAGGAGATGATAATTCATATAATGTTAAACATAATAAACATGCATATAGTCCAAAAAAAAAACCAACTAATAATAAAGTATACTATTCCAAAAACAATATTGAATTTCCATCCTCATTAGCCTAAGCTTAAACTCACATGGGAATCCGGATGACGCATAGTCTTGTATAGTAAAAAATGTGACCGAGAAAAATTAAAACAGAAACTCCAAGATTAAATCTGTAATGTTATTTTGAGCTGTAATTGAGAACATTAACATCTGCAATTTTTTTTGTTTTAGTTCACTTATAAAGAGGACATTGGAGATTTATTATTCATGTTAATTAATCAGATACAATATGCTATAAACAGGACAGGTTTAACATTGTATGTTAATAAATTTTAGTATATAACTTAAAATACACATGCTAAGTGATACACAAGATAGTTTCCATTTTAACTGATTCAGAAGTATAATTGTCTATCTTTTTAATTTCAATTGCATGCAAAAGAACAATCACTTTTAAACTTCGCTATATTTTAAATCCAGAAATTTTAAGAAAGTTTGATTTATATATATTTACGTCAGTCTAAAAATTTTCACTACATGTGTATACTATTTTAAAACATGCAGGAACAAGGTTTATGTATTGAACCTTGACCAAAAAAAGTCATTGACATGATATATTAATCTGAACCCTGCACTTTCATTCTAACTGAATCAAAGCACATTTGTTATAAATAAACCTAAATTTGCAGTTAAAATAAATTTTCATGCAGGCATATGAAAAAACTAATAAGAATACTCATTGCTTTTAATAACTAACTTAACCTCTGACCAGATAAAAACTGCTACATGTTAAGATTGGGAAATTGTATTTTTCCACTTGTAATGAAACCGTTCCACCGTTTCTTCATATAGTTTCTATACTGACATTATACGAGGGCAGTCTTTCAGCAAGAAAATGCTTCAAATGATCCTTTGTTCGAAATCCAGCAGTTATATTGTTAGATTTATCAAATGACTAGAGAATGCTCCTCTTTCCAACTCTGTGTATATAGGAATACAGGGCAGTATCTCTACTGCAGTATTACAACATATCGCAATATGTTAATAGACCATATCATTCTATGACTCAACTCAACCTTTCCAACATGTACTTCTAAGCCTAACTTTTTCTTCAAAGAACAAAACATTTTGAAAGCAAATATCCTTTATGACTTAGCAAATTTGTATAAATATTTCCTGTCTTTGAAGTAGAGCATTTAAAAAATCAAAACTGTACCAACATTGTACAATTATACACTCAGGTGAAATACCCATGACAAGCACCTGCCACTTGAAGTTACTTAGTACTAAAATTTTGTAAAACTTAATAGTTCTGACTATAAATGTTGACAACAACAATGATAATATACACTATGTACTTACACTGAGCTGTGTGCACACAAAGCATATTTAAAACAACTTGTAGTCCAGAACATTGAATAACACAAACAATTATATGAAATTATTAAATTTTAACTTCTATTAATAATTTTTTTCCAAGTTTTTTTTTCTTTTATTTGGTCCAGTATTTCAGAAAGAACAATTACATGATTTTATAGCTTATAGGTATTAAGTCTTTCATTTTTTCCTACTCAAAAAACAAACATAATTTTCATTGGGAAATAAAAATCCAAATTTTCCAGGGAGGTTCCATAATTACTGATGCTATACATTAAGTTCAACAGTCCTGAAGTCTTGAAGTAAAAGGTTGGACACAAGAAAGATTACACACTGGAAAGTTAGGGAATACATGTACATGTACTAGTAATGTTTTATTATATGAATGAAGGATTGCCTACATCCTGACTGGCTAAAATCCCAATATTTCAAATTATCACACCATGTTTGTGAAGTTTTTTAGAGTAAGTTTAGCAAACCATTTTGAAAGTGCAGCGTATGATTTTTTTTTTCTTGAAAAGAATAAAGTTCATCTATAAAATTAAAGCAAGCATGGTGAGAATCTTTGACACATGCAGCAACTTGACTTGTGGTTTCACATCATCAAGTAACTGTGGTGTTTGATTCATAAATCAGTTATCAAATATAGAATACTTCACAATAATTGCATTTTATGAGTGGCTTAAAAGTTATCTAGCATATAAAGAAACCAAATACAAGCATCAGTTGTCATTAGTTCGAGATGTGTGATAAGGGCACTCATATAATAAAACATTAACATGTTTGGTTTTATCAACACAATGGTTTAGCCATCTTTGCCAAACAATATTCATCTTCTGTCTCAGAGTGATTTTGTTCTCAGATATCTAAACCATTGTGTTGAACTCACTAAAGTCAATAATTGTAAAACAAGGGACATTGGGAGGAGCTATCTGATTGGCTACAAAAGATCACATGATTATTACCCTGATGACAGGATGAAGTCTGAACACAGTGGTTGGGTCTAGGTGATCACTAGTCAGGGTCACATGACCGTTCTTTACTGTCAAGTATTTCCGTGTGCACATGTGGATAATCTTGCACTGCTGTTCCCATTTCAAAACCCCTCCTGCAAAAATAAAATTGAAATATAACAGTATTGACAATCCACAAGAATTGACTTAAAATTTAGTAAATATATTGAAAACCTTGAGCTCTAAATTTCATGTACAAAGGGGAATTAAATAACATGTAATGCATGCTGGGTTACACATTATTCTCAATATACATTCAAGTACATTTTGTCTGTTAAAGCAATCAAAATTCTGTCGAAGCAGGATTAATTATATCATGACTTTTGATAAAAAAGATGACCAAAATTTTCAGAATGTATTCCACTTTAGAGCACAAGTCTGATTCTTTCCCTTTGCTGTTGAACATTCTCTAGTACATAATTACTTTAATACCTTGCACAGGTCCTTCCTGAAGCTCTATCTGCCAGTATGTCACTGCTGATGTACTGGGAAACAGTGTCTTAGGGTTAGCAGGGTCCATTGGCCTCATCCTCAAATGAACTGAAATTATAAATTACAAAAAATGTTAGAAATCCATCCAAAATGATAAATCATAACAAAAATAATCTCTGATCATTCTGATATTTCATGACCTTTCATCGTTAAAAAAAATTCCTTCATTAGTACATTAAAGTACTGTAGATCACTAAATTTTTGCGACACCTTATTTTTCGCGAGATAGTCATTGACTCTTCTATTAGCGAGACATAATTTTCACAGTTGTTCCTCTATATAATCGTAAGGAATACTTTTATCAGCAAGAATGAAATTTTAGCAGGCTCATTGTCTCATGTAATTACGTGAAAATAAAGTTCTTGCGTATAAAAAGTGATTTACAGTCCACTAACCATCCTCCAGAAGTTCATCATCAAACAAGCCCTCTGCCACGAGGTAGGCCTCCATTTCCTTGTGGTAAAAGCGGATGATGTCCCCTACTTTTACCCTGTTCATATCCTCGGGGGCAGGCTTGTACTTCCTGTAGATGGTGAACCCGGACTGCTGCACTGACAGGTTCAGCTCATGGCTGAAAATTAATTGAATTCATTTTATTGTCTTTCAGAGATATCAGTCTTCAGAATACTGAGGTTGAACTATAGCTATTTACATACATAAGCACATACAACATAGTTATAGCAATTATGCCATTTGTGGTGCCTCTTAAAAAAGATGACACAATGACACCCTGTGAAAAGGAATCAAGTAGCATAAATTTCATACTTTAAATTATTAAATATAATTTTTCAATGTTACTTTCAGATATTTAAATGATGCATGAATTTTAAAAAACACAAATTTATCATAAATAGAAACTTTATTTCTAATTTATATACACCTGTATTATCAATTTAAAGTGCATGGTTTCCAAAACAAGAATTTATGAAAATCATACACATTTTTTTAATAATTAAAGAATTTCAAATTAAGTTACACCTATTGCTCACTGAGTATCTTTTCAAAACTTTCAATTGTCAATTTCAAGTGCTAATACATTTCTCTCAATGTCAAAAAAATCTCCAGATAGTCTTAGATCAAGACACTTGAATACTTTTTTCTCCATATTCAACAAGCTTTTTATTATCAAGCCATTCAAAGTTTTTTAAATGGATGGCTTATACAGTAAATCTTATTAATGCACTTTTATTCCATTTGTAGCGTAGCCTTTATGCTTGCATGCTCGTGTAAAGAAAGATGCAGTTTATTATGGAACATTATAATGATTATAGCAATACAATAACGACATCCAATAGAATGACAACCGTCTCTTTAAGATCTGATCCAGGATATAAAAGGTTGTGCCAAGACCTAATGGACTCCTTCCTTTCAATAAAAACAAATCATAAATATAAAAGGAAAATTGATTTTTTTTTTACTTATACTTGTTCACAATCACTCTTCAGAAAGGTGATAGACTAGGACTTGTATTTCAGTTCTGGATTCTTTGTAATTAGTGTCACTGTTCAACTTGTTATGCTTTACAAAAAATCTGCGAAGCATTAAATTTGATATTTAATATCTAGTTTACTTTCATAAATTAAAAATGCTGTGTTGGCTTGTCATTCTCAAAGGTTTTTTTTTTTAAATTCAATGAACTATATCTACATTGTATATAAAGCTGATATTCATTGTATACAAGATGTCATTTCTCTGGCCCCAAAAATAATAATTTTTAAAAATTTGTAAATCTTTCATATGCCTTAATCCTTGTAGTTTCATGATTACAAAAGCAATTCTAAGCCAATGTGTAGGATCAATATTGTTTTCATTTTGAAACTGAATTTTAAAAATCTCTAATCCACAAGGTAGACAATTTATTGATTTTTGACATGAATCCTAAAAGTTTCGTGTCAATTCACTGTAAATCTATACAGACAGATAATTTTTAAAATCTAAAGTGGCTAGGATAGGTTTGCAGTATTGTGCTTAGGGAAAGGTCTATGTACACATATGTGTTGATTAAAACAAACAGAATCTTTGATGATTTGATCAATTATACATGGAACACTCAACATTGTTTAAATAACAGTTAATGTATACACATTCCTTTAACAAGAGGCTCATGGGCCACAACTCTCATCTGAGTAACTATGGCCCTTCTGTTCTTCATCAAGAGATATTTTTCTTACATATTCTATGTAAATTAAATTATTCCCTGTTGTGACCCTTAATCCTTCCAAAGGGGCCATATTTTTTTAACAATCTTGTATCTACACTACCCAAGGATGCTTCTATATTGATATAACTTATCATGACTTTACCAAATCTACACTTCTGGAAGGTGCCTCGAAATAATGGCTTTGCTGTTCTCATAAAAAATATTTTTAAAGCTTCTTTTGTAAAACTTTGATTTCCCATTGAGCATTGTGAAAGTTAAGGTATACAGCTCATATTATTAACTGTAGACACACATCATAGCTAAGATTTGTGAAAGTTAAGGTATCTAGCTATTACCCTTTGCTATAGACAGACACCTGTCCTATCTAAGATTTGTGAAAGTTAAGGTATCTAGCTATTACCCATTGCTATAGACAGACACCTGTCCTATCTAAGATTTGTGAAAGTTAAGGTATCTAGCTATTACCCTTTGCTATAGACAGACACCTGTCCTATCTAAGATTTGTGAAAGTTAAGGTATCTAGCTATTACCCTTTGCTATAGACAGACACCTAAGATTTGTGAAAGTTAAGGTATCTAGCTATTACCCATTGCTATAGACAGATACCTAAGATTTGTGAAAGTTAAGGTATCTAGCCATTACCTTTTGCTGTAGACAGATACCTGTCCTATCTAAGATTTGTGAAAGTTAAGGTATCTAGCTATTACCCTTTGCTATAGACAGACACCTGTCCTATCTAAGATTTGTGAAAGTTAAGGTATCTAGCTATTACCCATTGCTATAGACAGACACCTGTCCTATCTAAGATTTGTGAAAGTTAAGGTATCTAGCTATTACCCTTTGCTATAGACAGACACCTGTCCTATCTAAGATTTGTGAAAGTTAAGGTATCTAGCTATTACCCTTTGCTATAGACAGACACCTAAGATTTGTGAAAGTTAAGGTATCTAGCTATTACCCTTTGCTATAGACAGACACCTAAGATTTGTGAAAGTTAAGGTATCTAGCCATTACCTTTTGCTGTAGACAGATACCTGTCCTATCTAAGATTTGTGAAAGTTAAGGTATCTAGCTATTACCCTTTGCTATAGACAGACACCTAAGATTTGTGAAAGTTAAGGTATCTAGCTATTACCCTTTGCTATAGACGGACACCTAAGATTTGTGAAGGTTAAGGTATCTAGCCATTACCTTTTGCTGTAGACAGACACCAGTCCTAGCTATGATTTGTGAAGGTTAAGGTATCTAGCTATTACCTTTTGCTGTAGACAGACACCAGTCCCAGTAAACCTTTGCTGACGTGAAGGTAAGAACCTGAGGATTTTACACTCTCCAACACCACCTGGTCATCAACTTGGACCTAAACATCAAGATAAAGGATAATGTGATACATCTATAAATTAATAATAATGAATGCATGTCTTCATGTCCAAGAAACCCTTGATATGGAAGTTAAAATCTTAAATTTTAACACCAATATAAAATCAAATCTCTTTTAAAAAAGTTTTCTTTTTATAATGGAGTTCATTTTATCTTCACTATATAAGCTTTCTGCTTGAAGTATAAGTATTTTTTTCTTTTGTTTTAACTTACACTCAATTTTCATTTATTTTTCTATAAAAATGAAACATTTGATTTCCCAAGCTGACCACTTACAACGTCACCCTCCGCCTTGACCTTGTATCGCGGCATGATGCGGAACTGTGCGTGTTTGGCATTATCTGCCAGTAACTCCACCTATATCAAATAAATTCAATATGATGAAGGAAAATTCATAAAAAAATAAATAATCATCATAACTATTAGAAATAACATAGTTTTATGCCAGTTATTTTTATGGTCAAAAATGTTAAAAATATCTATATTAGACCTTCTTTATATGGTTGACCTCTCCTTTCCAAGATAGATGTCGATTTTACATTTCTTTTGATCTCAATATGTTATAAATATGGGGTATTTTTTTCAAGAAAGAGAAATTTTATTTCATGTTACACATAAATGGCCCCATACTAATTTGAAATATGGCCTCTCTCCACACTTTGCATGTAACTTTGAATATTAATTTGTACTTTCAAAGAAACCTATACTTAAACAAAGGAATGTTGTTTTTAATTTAAATTTAATCCCTTTGACCTTTAAGACTCATTGCAGCTGTTACATACAACTCTAAGTAGTGTGTACTTTTAGTAGAAAATATAATTCCTTGCATGCATGCATAGATTTAATCTTAGTAAATTTTAATCTGCATGTTCATTGACCAATATATCACATGTAGAAACTAGCTAACATCTAAGGCATAAAAGAATGCCAAATTAAAAGAATTCTAAATAAAATAAGTCATTTAAAATTAGCTCTATAGATTTTACATGAAAGAAATGAAATCAATGTTTTAAAGAGCTGTTGCAATTATTCAAATTAAACTGGCAGTATCTTACAATGACCAAAGTACTAAAGTACTGAGTACTAAACAAATCCTTGACTTTTTTTTTTTTTTATATATGTATGTTGCTATTTTCTTCCTATTGTTAATACCAAGAGCCCATTGAAGAGACGTACCGCCATGTTATTGGTTTCTGTGTTGGACGTCTTCGTGGTGCTAACATGGATGTACTTATTGGTGAACAGGTGCCGCAACTGAAAAAAATATATACAAGCTAATTAATTTAATAACTAGTCTAAGAGCATTGTGAGGATGCTACAGAAATCATACAGTCCAATCTGATTATCATAAAGAATCAGTAAGTCAGATCTATACATTACTTGTAATTTAATGAATTACAATATATACCAAGGCAGATGTAGAAATAAATCCCAGATTAAATAAGAAGAAACCTCATGAATATATAATTATGTACTTTTTTCTTATGGAAAAAACATCCCTCCCAACTTCTCCTCCCTTTTAAAAAAAAATTCATTCAATTCAGAATTGAATTCCTATACTTTATTTTTAAATAAAAAAAAAGAATTCAATTTTATGTTTGGTTTTTAAGTCTAAATATAGATCAATTCACTCCAATTTTGTGTGGTGCAATACTAAGTACTATAAGTACTATTTATTTCCTTCAGTTTGATAAATACTCAAATATCATAGGTTACTCAAGACCAGAACAAAAGCACTAAACTGTGTTTCCAGAGCTGTCATAGTAACAGTATAAACTTTTGACTTCATAATGCACTAGGTGTGTAATTTTCTTTTTTTTAATATACTAATATTTTGCAATGATACTAAGCATATGGGTATTATATTACCTACTGTGTAATTATAGAACTCTGTCACAAGCAAATCTATATAGAGTTGTAAATTATTCAGGACTATAAGCTTTTGTAAAAGACATGCAAATAAAATCATTAAGAGAGAAATCTATATCTTCTTCACAAACTCAGTCAGTTGAAAGCTTTTTTGTATGTATGAGCTATAGCTATTCTATTCTAGGGTTCGTTGGTTTGGACATTTTCCATCTGATGTTCCTATCACCAGAACCAAAAATGAGTAACAACAGAAATATTGTTGTGTTGAAAAAGCAAATTTTACTCATTAAAATGCTTTAATTAATAAAATGGATTGACAGTTGAGTTTTGGTATCTGAACAATATCTCAAATAACATGGGTATGTCCTAGCCTGGTGAATTGAAGTCCCAGCCACATATTTCTCATGACAAGTATTTTACCTCAGAAATCTTGAACCTTTGGATATATCTCAAAGTATTTTTTAAGTCCCATTGAGTTTGAGAAAATTAGGTTTGACTGTATATGTAATAATATATAAGTCAATAATTATATTTAAATTAAAAAGTAAAAAAAAAAAAAATTTAAACTTTATGATACCTAATTTTAGAAGTGGTGTTGTTGAAAATATATCTTTACAAACTACACCACAAATGGACAAATTGCCTAAATGTCTATAAATGTTCCTCAGAAAAGGCAGACAAAATGAAAATATCCTAGTCTCTAGACTTTAATGCCGCTAAGAAAAAAAAAATATTCTTTTTTTAAAAACTACAGTGAAACCCTATTTATCTTGAACTTGATGAGATCAAGGAAATACTTTGAGATATCCAAGGATTGATATATCCAGATTTGAAATATTTAAAAAGAAAAAAGTGCTTAAGACTTCAAAGGTATTGTACTTGTAAGATAAGTCAAATACTGTTTTTAAAAAATTGCTAAGACAGTTTGTGACCAATAATACAGTTGTTTCTCCAATAATTAGAGGGGACTTCAAAAATTTACTTAAATCGACTTTAACAATTGGCTACTCTTTAAATATCACTTGTTCCCTTCATGAGAATTAACATTGAATACACATTATAAATATCTAAAATCAATTAAACAAATACTGTAGATTTGAGGGGTTAAAAAATTAAATTAACAGAACACAACTGCATTGCAGTGGCATTGCAATGTGCAATGTCTTTGCTTCAGTTTGTAAACCAAGAGAAACAAATTCCTTATTAAAATGTAAAACAGAAAATCTACTTAATTTAAACAAGTGCCTGTGTGGTGGTCAAATGTAAAGGCCGTGTTTTGTAATCTGATTAACAATAAAAAGAAATAAAACAAATTAATGCAAAAGTTTTAATAATACCTGTATATATAGTAAATTATATTGCAAATATGAATTCAAATAAATACACTTTATTATTAATTCATTTGATATGTTTTGAGTTCTTATAAAAAGATTGAAATTTCTAGTGTAGAGTTTAAAGATTAAAACACTGTAATTATTGTTAAATTTATTATAATATCGATATCTTCTTGAATTTTATATTTTTCTTCACATTTGAATAAGAAGGCAAAAACCTTTGAACCCATCCCACCGCATCCTTTATGTGTTTCACATGTCAGACTTTGAATATGATACAAACAAAATCAATTCTCTCTTTCTTGAGTCATAAGGATGTCTTTATGCATATTTTTTTTACATCCTTTAGGATTTTGATTCATAGATGTTTTTCCTCCTCCGATTTGCAATGCAGACACAAAGGCTAATTCTGAGAAAATTCCATTAGAGGACATTGTATGGTAATTATAGTCTCATGCAACCACCACTTGTCTGAGCTTGACAATGTAAAATCAATTCTGAGGTTTCCACTTCTCATGGCTTACATCACAAATCACCAAAAAAAGAAAAAAATCCTGATTCAGAAGACTTCACTCTGTCTAGTATGCATGATTAATGGTTTTATGGGAAATCAAGATAACAATTAAGACAAAAGTATCCTTGCATTCAAATACAGTCTTCTGATGGACAACTGAGGCAAAAATTTGATAATTCCTATTTCATAATCAGTTATATTTTTTTTTATTTTTTCCATACATACCGGTAGGTATTAATTATTGTATGTTCTGTCCATATCTAAGAATTTACCAGTATGCTCCCCCAGTCCTTAACAACAAATTTTCTGTTTTTTACAATCATAACAGTCATAATAAATAATTTGCCTGAATGTACTGTACATGATTAGTTCATAAATTATCTGTAAGTTATGTCCATACCTAATTCTATAATCAAACCTAATAACCAATAAATCATTTATATGTTCTGTGAATTTTTATCTTTTTTCTTTTACAATATGTTTTGCCTGTACTCATGAATTAATATTTGAACCAAACCTTTTTTTACTACTGTGTGTAGGTCTATGTTTTGTATATTAGTAAAAAAGATAAACTGAGTGTTCTGCCTATACTCTATTACTGTAGATCACTTAATTTTTGTGATGACTTATTTTCGAGAGATAGTCATCAACTCTTTATAAGCGAGACAAATTTTTCACGTATAGTGGATTTTACTCTGCATAATCTAAAAGGTATATTAATTTACGCGAGAATGAAATTTTCACGAGCACATTGCTTTGTGTAATTATGCAAAAATAAAGTTCTTGCGAATAAAAAGTGATTTAAAGTAGTTATTTTGGTATGTTTGCCTATATCTGATAAATTACCTAATTTATCTGCCTATACCTAATATTGACCTGTTTAATCTGCCTTTAACTACTTTCAATATCTGTATGATCTGCGTTTACTTAAATAACTACCTGTACGATCTGTCTATTTCTAATAAATTACCTGTACAATCTGTATATTTCTAACAAATTAACTATATGATCTGTCTATTTCTAAACTGATGACCTGTATCTTCCTGTAAGTTCTACCTGTTTCTAATGACTTACCTGTATGATCTGTCTATTTCTAATGACTTACCTGTATGATCTGTCTATTTCTAATGACTTACCTGTATGATCTGTCTATTTCTAATGACATACCTGTATGATCTGTCCATACAGAACCTTTTTCCCCTGCTGTCTCTTCTGTTTCTTACCTGTATGATTTGTTCATACAGAACCTTTTTCCCCTGCTGTTTCTTCTGTTACTTACCTGTATGATTTGTCCACACAGAACCTTTTTCCCCTGCTGTCTCTTCTGTTACTTACCTGTATGATTTGTCCATACAGAACCTTTTTCCCCTGCTGTTTCTTCTGTTACTTACCTGTATGATTTGTCCACACAGAACCTTTTTCCCCTGCTGTCTCTCCTGCTACTTACCTGTATGATCTGTCCATACAGAACCTTTTTCCCCTGCTGTCTCCTCTGCTACTTACCTGTATGATTTGTCCACACAGAACCTTTTTCCCCTGCTGTCTCTTCTGTTACTTACCTGTATGATCTGTCCATACAGAACCTTTTTCCCCTGCTGTCTCTTCTGTTACTTACCTGTATGATTTGTCCACACAGAACCTTTTTCCCCTGCTGTCTCTTCTGCTACTTACCTGTATGATCTGTCCATACAGAACCTTTTTCCCCTGCTGTCTCTTCTGTTACTTACCTGTATGATTTGTCCACACAGAACCTTTTTCCCCTGCTGTCTCTTCTGTTACTTACCTGTCTGATCTGTCCATACAGAACCTTTTTCCCCTGTTGTCTCTTCTATTACTTACCTGTATGATCTGTCCATACAGAACTTTTTTCCCCTGCTGTCTCTTCTGTTCCAGGACATTGTCTTCATTTTCTGCTTCAGCAGCAAGCTGTAAAAATATACCAGGTGATATTAAAAACAGAAATTAATGTTAAAGCATCAAATTATCCCCGTTGTTTAGTAACTTTTCAAATGTACTTTTCAGCATTGTATTCATGTACATAAAACATTTAAAGGTGAGATCTTCCTCATTCCCTTCCAAATATATATAGCCTCACACACACAAAAACACACATTTTTTTAAAATGGGTTACAAAGACAGATTCACTGAGAAAGTCACAGAATTTCACACACTGTAAAGCAACTTTTATTTGCATACAAGTAACATCTGTGAGTTTCACGACCAGTACTTATCGTCGCTAACCATTTATTTTGCTTTGTATCAATAGATTGTGAAAATTAAATGTTTGGATTGATTTCAAACTGACAAATCAGGAATAAAAGTTGGTTTACAGTAATTCATTATGTCCAAGATAGAGTCAATTTCATTAAAATTCTTGTATGTAATGGTACAACATATACACAGTATATGCATTAAAATCTGTACAGAATGAAGTTATACATACTTCATAAATATATTATGTTAAATTTGCACAGACCGTTAATATTAGATGGGATCATTTTATGAAGTCCCCCTTCTATCTCTTTCTTTTCTCTCTCACATTCTATTTTTTTTCTTTTGATCATACCATGCAACAAAAACGTTTTTTTAAAAAGTTTAAAACCCTTATAAAGTATCTAACGACCTAATTAATAAATTGGATCCAATCCCAAGTGTTTAGGCACCTGATCGCTTAATTAAAATCATGTCAGTACCATCTAATCAAACGGCATAAAGGACGTGCACTCCCCCTAGGAATAAAGACACAGTGACCTCACGACATTCAATAAAGCGGGGACATATGTGTTCACCCATCTATAACGACACCAGAAGATCATGACAAGAAGAACACAGAGATATGTAAACCAATACAGGCATTTAATGATCTAGAAATGATAAATACCTTGTTAGGTCGGAAAGACAATGAGTTTTGATTAGATAAAGACCCTGTAAATTTTAGCAATATGTTGAAATGAAGACCTCATAGGAATGGGGTTTTAAATATAGGACAAACTTAAGCTCTGAATTATTGAAAATTGTCTTGCATTGAACAGTTACACACACATTCCAATAAAATTTTCAAAAGCTTTAATTCTTGTAAAAAAAAAAAAATAACAAATATTTGCTAGTTGGGTTTTTCAAAGTAAGTTTTTCCATAATAAAGATATGTATAAACATGTATTATGAAATTTTTCTTCCAGTGACCTTGAACTTCCCCAAATGGCCTTGGGTCAAGGTCATGACACACCCTTGGGTCATGGGCAATCTTTGTGTGAAATGAGAACCTACCAAATTTATCCATAAGAAAGATATGGACTGGACACAAATTATGAAATTTTTCTTCCAGTGAAATTGAACTTTCCCAAATGACCTTGGGTCAAGGTCATGACACACCCTTGGGTCATGGGCAATCTTTGTGTGAAATGAGAACCTACCAAGTTTATCCATAAGAAAGATATAGACCGGACACGAATAATGAAATTTTTCTTCCAGTGACCTTGAACTTCCCCAAATGGCCTTGGGTCAAGGTCATGACACACCCTTGGGTCATGGGCAATCTTTGTGTGAAATGAGAAACTACCAAGTTTATCCATTAAAAAGATGTGGACCGGACACGAATTATGAAATTTTTCTTCCAGTGACCTTGAACTTCCCCAAATGAAGGAAATTTAATGACACACTTTCATGGGCAATCTTTGTGTGAAATGAGAACTTTAGTTTACGTAAGAAATATATGGACCGGACACCAATTATGAAATTTTTCTTTAGTGACCTTTTTTGGATCAAGGTGACACATATATGTGTGGAGTAGTAGATTCTAATGTCCCTTAAGAAAGATTGGACCAGACACGTTTGCAAGGACACTGCCATTATATATATACCCCCGCAAACAACAAATATTTGCTAGGGGATCACAAATTAGTCCAAACACATCTCCATTAACACATCCGAGTTTATTGTCTACCAGAGAATACTTATGGGTCTATTGGATGTTTGGTGGTGGTTTGTTTCTAGTGAAGATTTTGGTTACAGGAGAATAGTTAGTGTGGTTGACCATATTTGTGGTGTTATAGGTGGTAGTCAGTGTTTGTGACTCAAGACACCATGGCAGACTTGGAATCACTGAAACCAGTGAATGTGGTTTACAGTAATGAGTGTTGGTAGTCAGTGTGTAAACTGATACAAGGTGTTGTGGTAGAAGGGGTTGTAGTAGAAAGGGTGACTGACTGCTATTGGAGTTGATGGCAAGTACTCTAATGGATGGCTGCAACAGTTGTTGACTGAAAGAGAGTGGTACTCTGTGGTTAAGTGCTACTTGTGATGACAAATCAGAATGTTGTTATAGTGTTTGATATCTACTGGTGATAAGGTGGAAGTCAGAGTGGTTGACTGCTTTTATGATGATAAAAAGAATGGTTGTTCACTGCTAATAAACAGAGTGGTAGTGGTTGATTTATTGTGATGGTGAGACTGGTAGTCCAAGTGCTGACTGCTACTGTTGATAAGGGTGGTGGTAGACAGATTTGTTGACTGCTATCATGTTGTTGAATCCCTTTTGTAATGAGTGGTAATGCTGATAATAATTATTATCTTGCAGCAGAGTTGGAGGGGGTATAGTGGTGCAATTGTGCATGTTTGTTTGTGGGTTATGTCCTGTATGAAACCAATGTGATGGAGTTAGCATCTGGTAGTCAGAGTGCCCAATGTTACTGGTGATTTTAAGGTCTTGGTGAGGGGATGCTCCACTTTGCTGTTCCCTTGTTAACATTGTCCCATGTAAATTTCAAATAATATCACTTAAATTCAACCAGTGTTGTATTAAAGAGATAACTATATCTTAAATTTGCCATTTCTGATCAAAAGCTTTGTAGTTTTGTAATAGAACAAAGACTGTTTTTGCTTATAAAATCAATATAGTCTGCTCACAGTGATTTTACCAGCCATTATCTGATTTCTAAAACTTTTATATCATGACTATAATCTTTCCATTTAAAATGGGGCAATTCTTTGAGTTATGTCCAAGACACGATGTAGTTACGATATCGACACATTACTTTTTTTTATAGTTTTCTATAATATTTCAGAGTTCGTGTGTTTATAACAATGTGTGTGTGTTTTTTGTTTGTTACAGAAGTGTCATATATTTGCCATTGGGATCATGATTGTTTCAAGAATTGTGGTTTCCATCCTTAATATGCTCTTTTTAACAACTGTTACTTAAAACTTTCTTTATAAATCTTTCTGAAGTGTCGATATCGTCGATATGGACATGTGCAACTGGTGTTGCTAACCTTTGTTTATACCTTCCCTGCTACTTTGAATGTGTTTATGTTTAATTACTTTCCACATAAGATTTTACTTGCCATCGATATTTTAATTCAACAGAGTTATATTGAAACAGATTGTTAAAAGCATATTATTTTACCAACCTTCACCTTAATACAAAAACTTTATTTTTAGTTTGTGTAATAAGAACAAAGACTGTTTTTGCGATATAAAATCAATATATGATTGTTAAAACATTTTCAGAGATTTTACCTAACCCAATTATCTAAATAATCTAAAACAATAACAACCTTTTTTAATCATAATTTATTTTCATATTTAAAATGAATCAAACTTCACTTTTGACTTTGTAAAATAATGTTATACCTCAATGTGAAAATAGATTATGCAAATAGGATCAACATCCATACAAGTCATGATATTGTCGATATAAAGACATAATATAGTGTCTCAAATTTGTTACATGTATATTAATAATCACGATCAATAGTAGATATCGACATAAAATTGTCGATATCGACCAGTTTTGCAATGTGTAATGTTATCACATAAAATTCATAAGACAGTCCAACATCAGGACAAGTGAAGTAATTAATTGACATCAATCTACATCACTGGATATATGTAGTACATGTATATCAATAAAGTCAATAGCCCTTTATTAAAATTGAAATTTTGCAAATCCTTTATCAAAACCAAAATATCTCAAAAATCCTTGGATATCTCATTTTTTCTTAATTCCATGGCATTTTGGATAACAGGATTTGACTGTATTAACACCCTTCTATATTGGTGTAACTGCATGACTACACTAGCATTTGTTGGTAGGAAGAAGGACATAGTTTAAAGTTACAGTATTTTTTAAACTGCAAATCTTTTGAAATATATACAAATGTACAATGGAAATATTGTTAAAATTTACTCCATATACCCAGACTGTGTAAGCAATTGGTAAAACATGCACACATTGTCCATCAAATGTTTATTTTGGAAACTCTGTCATAATCTTTGAAAACAAACAGTAATCCACCAAGTCAATAAAGGACAAGCATTAAACAAACTGGAATTAAAGGGCAAGGTTGGTGGGATTCAGCAATTTGCCAAATCGTGTTAAACTGTCATTTCAGATAATACTTATCTATTAGTTAGGAACATGTTCCAGTCATATATTTTGAACAATTTTCATGCTACTGATTCTTTTGAGGTAGAAACTTATCAATAAAAAAAATTTAAATCTCCAATCAGCTGACTTAACCAACTGAAATAATTTATGTTGCCAATTTCTTAGGTTCTCTTTAATAGTAAAAATCCTTCATCATCGAGCAAGAAAATCTTTTGTAGGTGTACAGAATGTATTTTACTGCCAAACTTCACATTCAAAATTATTGCACACATAATCCAGAAATGAATCATGACAAATGATAATTTGTAAGGTCACTGTATGCCCATTCCTCAATGTTTTAAAGTTCTTTATATATGTACATCATTTGCCATCTTGTGCTCATGGATTAGGTGGATAAAGTTTCTTTAAGATTAAAAGTGTGTAATTAGTTTCTTTTGGCTTCACAACTTGTCTTTGTTCTGTTGGGGCTAGTCTGAAATTATTTTTCATGCAGACATACATTTAATTTGTTGTATCAATACAGTTCTTCTTTTTGAGTAATTATCCACATAAATGACATTATATATTTTGAATAAATGAAAGATACTTAAAGATTTCTCAAATATAATATTCAAGTTCCTTTATATTACCGTAAATGATGCTTTATAACAATATCTTAGTAAAAGAAGGTGTATCAGGACATAACATTTGTAGTCCATTATACTTTTTTTTGTAATCAACTTAACCACAGAAGTATTTAATATAAATGTGATTTTTTTCAATGAAAAATGAAGAAACAAATTTGTAAAAAATTGTTTATTTTTATTAATATGTTAACAAAGGAAATGTTTTTGTAAAGTTTTGCCTACAGTTGATGAACTTCAAGTATTAAATAGCACACATTATTGATATGATAATTTTTTCAAAATGATACAAAAAAATTAAATTAAATATAATTATTAAATTAGTTTTATTTTTTCATGTTGTGATTTCAAACAAAAATTCCATAAAAATAGTTTTATGATTTACATACTGGCAATACTACGATATAAGAAATTTGTAAATTAATCTCTCACAGAAAAAAGTATGTCTTATATTTCTCAACATCTCTATTAGGTCATATATCCATTAGCTTATTTCCTGAAAGTGTAAATTGTGGCCACTAGGGGAAAAGGAATGGTGTTGGGAGAAGGTCTATATACCTATCAAACATTATAATATGCAGAAATGTGTCCCCTGGGTGACATTAAATGTATTCCTAGTACCAGTAAACTCATTTCAGCTAATAAACTAGCACAGGTACACTGATTTCAGTTATCAAACCAGCCACTTACCAAATCTTATCCATACTTGAAAAGTTAAGATTATTGTGCACGTTTATCTTAAAGTGTTCACGCTAAAATCTTGAAATGAAAACTTAGGTCAGAGTTCCTAAAATGACAACTCATCAATCTAATGTTATTTAAATTCATTTGAAAAGTTTCCCTAGAAATATGCTTTCTTTAAAAATTAGAGGACATATATGTTTATACATGTACGAACTGCATTTTATTGTTTTCTTTTATACTGATGTCTCAATTAACTGTTATCATACGTACTTTAATTGATAAAAAAATTTAATCTCTCTCTTCTCTGTCTCTCTGTACATATAATGTACATAAGTTTATAATTTTAACAAGTTATTATCATAATTAGCACTCACATTTTTTTTCATTCTTCACATTTCAATCTCCTCAAACTTTATGGCAATTGAAATCAAACAAATTCCCTGTTTAAAAGCTAATAAACAAAAGATCACAACCTATTTCCTTTAGCTTGAAAAAAATAACCATCCATTTACATACAAGCTGTGAGCTGTGATCAGAAAGTTTGCAAACTATTTTTATATTTATACAACCACCTGTGACAAAAAAATGGTTAATTCAGTCATACTCGAGACACAAAAGACTGTAAAGTCTAACATATATCTTAGAAATTCCTTTGCAGAAGCTGCAGCATATCATAATTTGTACAAGGTTTATGCAGACAACAGATTTTCAATCATTAATTGAATTGATTGTTGTAGTGATGGAAGCGAAATGGTTAAAAATAATGTTTGTTCTGACTTGCCCACTGAAAACAAGCTGATGTGTCTTTAGTTGAACAACTTTTTATGAAAGATCACCAACTTACAGGTACAAAAATAGTTGAAATTCTTTACAATAAAATAATTATTAAATTCCTAAAATATTGTTTACTCAAGTCTTTAAATATATATCAGAAATAACTAAAAGAAGGCACCCATGCTATATCCATATTGAATAAACAACGTTCCTAAGACAGAGGACTCGGGTTGTGATGGTAACCTTGCTCACTCGTGGAAAGGATACGCATATCCAACATACCTATTTTGAGATTTGTCCATTTCAAATGGACTGTTCTTGTTAAAAAAAATAACTTGCATGGTTTGAAATATTAGACTCGGAATAATCTATGTCACATGATATGTGCATGGGCAGAACTGTGGCAAGTAGTGGTGGGACGATATACCGATACACCGATACATACCGATATTTTCCTCTAAGATACTGATTACGATACATGAGCATGAAAATATCGGTACGAAACGATACACGAACGACCTATCCAAAAATTGAAAATGAAACTACCTGTCCTTCGAAAATGGCGGCTTGTACGAAGCAAAGAGATGATGTTGATATTGAAAACACACTTTAGAACTAATAAGTCGTTGATTAGGGGTTAAAATTTTCACTTTTAAGCAGCCTCGGAAGATTGGACAGAAAAGTTCAGAATGTAAAGCGTGCTATACACAAAAAGTATCATTTCCAGAACATCTGAAACAAACTGTGGATTTTTTTTTGTAATCTCAACTTAGCTACAGACTTTCAGCAAATAATAATTATGTACATGTGATGTTTTTAAAATGATTTTTAGTCAGTGTTCTTTGATGAACTACACAACTATTTGTAAACAACTTGTTAATAGAAATTTGGTAATAATTTGGTAATATGTACATGTATTATTGTTTTTGTAAAGTTTTAGTCAATGAAATTGATGAACTTCAAGTATTAATTTCAAAGCACACATGATTTGATATAGAATAATTTGTTAATTTAATGGTCAAGACAAAAAAATGAAATAAAAAATAATTCTTTTGAATATTTTTATAATTTATCATGTTGATTTAATCATTTTTAATGTCAAGACAAAAAATGTAATAAAATACTAAATTTTTTGAATGATTTTATAATTTATCATAATATCAAGATACGTATCGTATCGTGTTAATAAATCGAGATACGTATCGTGTCACAAGATCTGTGTATTGTCCCACCCCCTAGTGGCAAGGTGCGTTAAAATAAGAGAGGACTACTTTAAAAAATAATGAACTATAAAATCTAATTTTATGGAAGTAATTCAATTAGTTCGTGAACTTTTTGATCACCCCTTATACTCAATTCTCTGATGGAAATTAATACATAGCCTGCTTAGCACACCCCAGTGTAAGGTTAGTTCATATTACTTCAATTTGACATTTTTAAGGAAAAATAACACCGACAAAAGTCCTCTATTATTCATTCAGGGATCACTGGAAAACATTCCCTTAGGATCACCCATTAAAAACTGTTTTTATCAGGTCTATTGGTATCAACACTGATCAAAGTCGATATACTGCATTAAGTTATGAAAATGTATCATATGTAATCCTTATCAAGTGTTTAAAGAAAGAAAGTTACTCTGAGATTTACCTATCTTTTAAGAATTTTAAGTATAGTTGAATATGGAAAGGCTAAAATGTAGTTCAACTGTCCATACAAGTCTTTAACAAAGTGGTAAGATCTTTCATGCTAATAAAACTTAAATTCTCAGATGATATTTTATTCATATACTATCCATAACCTAACTCTCAATTAAAAAAGATCCATCTTTTGAACAGAGTAAGTGTTCATTCATTATAGAAATTCCAAAACTTTTGTGGACATGAATAACATATTTCGTGCTCCATATTTTGCTTTGATCTCTACACAAGATAAAAGGCCAAGGATTGATTTTTAGATTTGATATTCTGGAGAGTTCTTTCGCTGGGATCATGCAGACAGTGTTTGGTTTATGCATGCAAGTGTCTCTTTGTGCAAAACTTCCAAAGAACTAAATTCCAAGTGTTTGAAATGATATGAAACAACTTTAAGAATATCAAGTAATTTACATTAAAATGGCATAGTCTACAGAAAAATAAGTATCAAAACCCATAATCCATCTCTTTCTGTCCTTTAGTTTGAAAGTGTATTGATTTGTGACCAGTTTTGAGAGTTCAGATGAGGAATACCACTCAATTACCATTTACAGTGATTTTACACCTTGAAGGAGTTGGTAGAAATAATATAACAGTTTGTAATACCTTGGCCTTTGACACAGAATTCCTGAGTGGGATATTTCCTGGTTCCTCTGCTAGTTTGGCTTGCAACTTCCTGTAACTTTTGTTCAATTTGTATCGATTGGCCACTTCTATATTGAAGGAAATCACTACAAAGATATAGAAATAGACTTCAAAAAAAGGTGAAATAATGCTGAATGTACCAGTAATTATAAATAGGATTGATCTTTGTGACAAATTGACTTCGATAGATTATATTGTCAATGAGATTCTGGAAGAGAGTGTCCAATAAGACAAACTTTGAATTCTTAATTACTACTATTCTAATTTCTATCAATGACAATGTGATCTAAAGGAAACACATACAGATATCACTATATTTACTACATAATTTCAGAAAATTGTAATTTATTTGTAAACGGGAGAGGGTATTTACTGATCGAGAAATTGAAATTATTGTTGTCTGAAACATACAACAAAGAGGGATATCTGATGTTTTGTCTTCTACCTATTTTTATAAAATGAAATTCTAATAATACTAAGAATTATAATTTTCAAGTACTTTTTTTCAGGAAAATACTACAATGCTTCATTGGTTACATGAGGATTAACCAAAACAAACAAACTTAAAGAGAAGTTATAAAAATTAAGCTATAAAACATAAAAGTGAATTGAAAAATTTTAATTTACAGAAGTCCTTAAAAAGGCATGAAAATAAAGAACACTTTAGTTTGATAACTTGTTGAATTGAATGTTGAAAATATATAGGCCTCTGCTTGAAGTGCTATACAGGAAATAATTGTCCAATTATTGCTGGTTAAATGTAAGGATTTAAAATCCAGGTGATAATAAATTGTAAATTGTATGGGATATCTGTATTTTTATAATACACTTAAAGAAATTTGTCTCGATATTCAGAGAAAGTGAGATTATCTAGGATTATTTTCAATTAACAGCAACATAAAAACTAAACAGGATTAACACTGCAAACCAAAACAACATAATACTGAAAATATTTAGCATAATCATGCTAGCGCTGGCAAAAATATCGATATTTCAATATATTGCGATACAATGACAAAAAATATTGTACCGCAATACGATTTTGTAATATCGATATATTGGCAATATGCTTAGATTAAGGAATTTTGTCATTAAGTATAAAAATAGACTTATGAAAGTTTGTTATTAAGCCAAACAGTAAAAGTTTTGTGGGAGCATTTCAGAGCATAACTTAGATGAAATCAACAAGATTTTTTTCCATGTTCAAGATTACTTATCATAGTTATGTACATTCTGCATGTAAATTAAGTAAATATAGTCAGAAAATGCCATTTTAATTACATTGAAAATATTGCAATACATATCACAATACAGTTTAAAATATCGAAATACATCGAAATACGAAATCTTGGGCCAATACCCAGCCTTAAATCATGCCATTTAAAAAAAAACTCTAAATGCAAGTAAAAAATGTTAATTTAATTTAAACAATATTTTACTCAAACATTGAATTAGATTGTCTAGCGGGCACAATTTACCAATTTTTAACCCAGTGCTGACAAAAATTATCCCAACACAATTCTTTGGGACACAGTTTGCAAGTAAAATGTATTTGAGTCACTCAGGAACTAATATTTTGGGTGTTCTAAAATTCATTTCAATGCCCACAAAAATTAGGCATTTGTGCACGGTTATGGTTTGTTTTGGTATGTCCCCAACCCCAAACACTGGGACATTGGTACCAGTGTAGTTCCTTACCATGCTGGTCTTGAACATTGGGCCTCTTCCTGTCCTGTCTGGCTCCTACGGCTATTTCATTGTGTACAGAACTGCAATGTTAATTGATGTAAATATATTCATTACCAGTATTCATTCCAAAAAATAGTTTAATACTGATAGATCCACCATAATCACAATCTGATTAAACTTTGGTTTAGAACTTCTCGTAACTTGTACACAAACTTCTGAAAACATACTTTTTACAAGTAACTATAGGATAAATAGCCACAATTTAAAGATGATAAAAGTGTGTAGGTGTCTGGAAAGACGTGTATGCATACAGAAAACCAACGATATCAAACCCACTAGAATTTGCCGCCATAAGTCAGACACCGGAAACAGGTGCAGTGTTATATTTAAAACCAAGCATTGTATAACTTAAATTTTTCCGGGCAATCCTCAGCAGCAGATCAAGTTAGTGCTAGCTGCAATAATGTAGCCCTCTCAGATTTTTTTATCCGATGTTTTCTGGAGCTAAAAAGAGGGGGGGAGAAGGCTACATTACTGCAGCTAAGCTAGTGCAGGCCCATTTAGCATCGATGGGGGGGGGCTTTTTTTCAGGTTGCATCTGCCCCCACGCATACACTTTCGGAGTCGAGTAAGGGTAACTATATAAAATCTACTCAGGGACCCATACATTGTACTATGTATACTAGTTTATAGTGCCCTGATCTACCAAAGTATATTTTTTAAAGTTAGGCATCCTCAGCCTTCATAAGCCTCTGAAAGGAATATCTTTGTTTCTCGTGTCTGAGCTAATACAGTGAATTAATCGGCTTAAAAAATCCAAACAAATAAGGTCACATTATTCCATGTGTCTCGTTTTCTTGTTTTGCTCAACAACAAATCGTGCATAAAATTTAAAAGAACATGAAATAACAAAATATAACAAAGAATAAATTCAAATATGTCTACACGGATTTTCGCCTTGTCTGGTGTAGAAACTGTAACTTTTGTTTGTCTCGTTCAACGAGTAATTTTTTTTTTTTTTAAATTTCGAGTGGTAGTGTATATAGTACGAGATGCAGAATTTCAATATGACATGAACTATCCGCGGTGAATCCTCTTAGAAACCTTTGATACACGTACCGAGTTATTTTACATAAAACACTTATAAAATGTCTCGAAGATACTAGCTGCAGAATTGTAGCTCTCAGAAAAAATTGTATTGAAAGACCGGGGATAGTTGTCCCTCCCATTTTTTTTTCTGACCAGCGATGTACAGATCTGCAGTTAGATCTGGCAATAAAATGATTATACATTTTTGGTCTTTGTATGCTAAATGATTGCATATATCCAATAATTCAAAAGCTTTCAAATTGGTCGTTTATTAATTACTTCCAATTAATTTTCTCTAAATAATAGTCGACAATTCATGAGATTTTTCTCAGAGCTACTCCTAGCTGACAGTGCAGTTCTTACAAACACACATTTCCCCCATCCACACAGTCTCTCTTTAGCATTGATTTTAAGACAATTACAATATACATGTGTAATAATTACTTCTATTTATGTAAAGTATTATTTGAACTAAATCGTCGTTAAGATAAATTTTTAAATATTTTAATTTCGCATTACTTTTTTTTATTTGTTTACGACTTTAAGACATGGTGGTCGAGCTTTTAGCTGTCTACTGTCTACATAATGCTTATTTACTTAGTTAAATACGCTATAGCGAAACGAAAATAATTTCATGAGACTGCTTTTAAAAATTTAAACTGTCTAATTGCTGCGTGAATTAGAAATGTGACTTTTCCAAAAGGTTCTTTCTAAACTGTTTATTTAAGCATTAAAATGTCATCTGAAACATGTACTTCTTTTTACTGTTTATATAACATTCTCATCTTATATATCCACAATAAATATTCATATCACTTTTCAGAAATCTGTTCTGAAATTCAAATTTAAGAAAGCACGCCATTTAAGTCCTTTCCTAACATTTGGGAGAATTATGTAACACCAAATGATAAAAATTCTCCTGTCCTTTAATAAATTCGGTTTATCTTTGGACTTGACGGATAGAATCGTCTTACCTTGATTGGGTAGAAAAAATAAATCCAAAACTTTCTGCCGAATAAAAACAAACAGTATCCCCTACACTTAACGTGTCATCCATGGTTATCAAGTATTATTCCTTCCCGACATTTCACTGATTCGAATTTTAAAACAAATCACAAAGAACTAGGAAAAAGAATGGGTTTTTTCCTCCCGACTTCACGAGTAATGCTCCACCATAGACTACATTTAAAACTGACAAGTGTTCGCAATACAAGAAGAGGTCTCGCGTTATGATATATCGATTCTATGGGTCATTGATTTTCCCGTTTTGACCTATCTATATCCAAATTTTTTTTATCCTGGCATGGAATGAAAATTAAATGTCTAATAATGAAAAAACAAGTGTCTACATGTCTCTAAGGTGATTATGTATATATACGACTAATGATTTAACAATGCCATCCACCCGTGACCGCGAGAGTCATTTAAATTATCCAGATTTCAATTCCATAGAACTCCTCTCTGTCAAAGTGTGGCACTATTTGTGTCTGTTGCTTCTATGGTAAAAGGAAAACAGTCGTGAGACTCCTCTCCGCCTTCTGGCGCTTTACATATTTTTTAAAACCTAAATTACCCGAATAATAAAATGTAGATTTATATGAAAATGTATATTTTCATAATGCTAGTTCTACATGTATAATATACACTATAAATTAGATATTTAAAAAAAAATGATGTAAGAATAGAATTTCAGGTGCTAAATATATCTTTTGATTGTGAAAGCTCATTTGGGGTGGGGGTGTTATAGAAATTCTTTTTTTAAAATACAATATTGGGAAACTATAAGAAAACGATCGAAAAAAAAAATACGTGCTCTCTATTTATTTCTTCGAGACTTTTGAAATTTCCTCTTGTGTGTATATTATTTGCAGTAGTCTTTTTATTTCCAAAGAATAGTTTCCCTATCGATTTTCAGATCATGCTTTGGAATTTCAAGAAAAGGAGTTCTCGTTATCTTGAACAAATTCATAAACACACAGTCATATTTGTGGGAATTAAATAATATTATGCGTAATTAACTAATGATTATGATGTACATCTTAAAGTTTATTACTTACCGTACGGAAGATAACATCATTCTACATATCTACATGTATTTTTATTTTAGATAAATAAAGGCTCTGGAAGAGCAAGTTTGTCATACAAGTTAAATATACATATTTTTTCGACAAACATTTTGATGACAAGACTTTGGATGTTCGTCGAGGCAAACACGTGTCCATTGTATTAAAGGTTGTCCGAACCTCAGGTTCTAGAAATCAGCTTTCAAGATATTGAAAATGCACAGAATTTAAGACTGTCTCCAGGTTTACGGAGTAACGTGGATTTACAAAGAAGTACAATAGATTTGTATATTAGAATGGAAAATTATCAAATTTCATTTTATTCTTTATTTTGAGACTTTGAATTATGTGTTAGATGTAAACACATCTTTAAAATATTACTTTGTTTAGAAAATATCTCAGAGAAAAATGCTTTATCCACCCCAGTGGATAGGTTCTCTCTTTCTCTGCACATGGCAAAAATAAATACATTAATTAAATAATTGAATAAACAATAGGAGAGGGACCCCCTTCTGAATCCATCAATGCCTAATGCTTGTGCTCTTTCTCAAAAAAAAAGTCTTAGGGTTTTTTTTTCTTGCTTGTTAAGGTTAAGGAATTTTTGCCCGCTGTTGCCATGGAAAATGTTGTTTGTGCTCCCCCTCCCATCCACTTGAAGAAATTATAGTGGTACACAGAAAAAAAAATGTTTGGAAATTCCTTCCTTCTTAGATCTACATGTATATTTAAGCAATGATTTGCCTCTTGGTTAGAACAGAAGTGCTCAAAGGGATGTAATTCTTATTCAATTAGAATTTTTAAATGCTTTCTGTCATATTTCATTTGATTTAGATCACAGGACAGGATCGACTAATTTGAGAAATATAACCGAATAATTCAATAGCAAAAAATCAAAAATCCTATTACTTATGTATTGTCATATGACACAGAAACTTCTAGACAAGACCATTAGCTTCAATTAAATTTTTACACCCTGTCCAAGGTACTTTAATTTTGCCCATATTTTTATTATTATTTTTTTTTAATGAAATAAATTATGATAATGTGCCAACTCCTGTGATCCTGTTTTATGTTTTAAAAATGCAACATTTCAATAATTGACAACTTTGAAGAAACAATCGAATTAAATAATGTATACACACCGTTTCAAGTTCATTTTCGCAATGCCATGTAGTCAAAGTTGTCAATTATTGAAATGTTGCATTTTGAAAGCATAAAAAAAGGATCACTGCAGGATCACAGGAGTTGGCACATTATCATAATTTATTTCATTTAAAAAAAATAACAAAAAAATATGGGCAAAAATTATACAAAATAGCTGACGAATGGATGGTGCGTCTGCATCATTTCTGAGAATTTTTATTTTACACGAAAATTTATCTCAAAATTAAATACATAAATTCCTTACAAATCTATCATACCTATATTTCGATTTCTTATATCATTTTCCGTGTCGGTAAAGTTTCAGAGATTGTTTCTCAATGGCAGTATAAAACTTTTTACATACCCATCGAAAGACAATTTCCTATATTTAAAAAGGACAGAAAATTAATGTTAGAAGTATCTCGGATAAAAGGTATGATAGGGTCTTTCAGTAAATTTATATTAAAATAGAAAATTTGGTTATTTTCTATTTTGATAAAAATTTGTGAGAAGACAATAGACTAGGAATTCATGCATTTAGGGTAATCTATGGTGTCTTAAATATGAATTTTTTATTCAACAAAAGAAGTCAATGAAATGATATATTTAAGTGTCAAAATTTACCACCTTTTAAAATTTACCTTCATTCTCTCCTTTTTGACAGATTTTATTTAATCAAATAGGCTCTGCAATATTAATACCTTTTCATTTATCAGTTTGATTAAATAAAATCTGTAAGAAAGGATTGTACCAATGTCATTATTCAAAGACTTCCATTCTGTTAGCTCTTTAAAATGCTAAATGTTTCCGAAATTTATATTTTATAGATAAACCACTGTAATAAGTTTGAACTTTATCACAATAAACAAGGTCCTCAATTTAATTACAAAGTTAAAAATAATGCTTGACATTTCAAATCTTATGCAAAAAAGACAGAAAACAATGAATGCTAATACCCATTTTTATTTCAGACAACAAATTTAACACCATCAAAATTAATGGAACATAAAGGTGTAGTAGCGACCTCGTCTTTCCTGCACGTATCGATTGCTGGCGTATTTTGGGGAGAAGTTAGCGTTGGTCCTCACGACTCCAACAGCAGTATAGCTGCTACAGCTCCGAGTAAACTTAATGTTATTGAAGATGTCCTTAGCATCCAAGTATTTTGTACCCCAAAAATTCCTTGAATAATATTTCGCATTTTTCAGAAGACTACGTGCCGAGGAGGCGTTCAAATGCCCGGTTGCTGTGGGGTTGCTTGCTATGATTAAGTTGAAGCCGTTGTGGCGAAAGACTAGACCACCATTACATGCCCACATCCAGTGGTTGTTTCCGCCCGCGATGTCATTATAGACTGCTACAAACCAATTGCGCCAGTAGAATTTCGTTGTTAGTTTATCATACACTTTTTTGGCTGCATCTGATTTGGAAGCACCTCTGTTATTTGTCAGAATGGTTTTGGCGTCGTTGATGGCTACATCCTTGAAGTTGTTCGTAAGATCCCTATCAACCTTCTCCATGGCCTTTCGCATTTCGTTGATTTGACCTGTCCATTTTTGTTCGTGGCCTTTGAGAGAGTTGGGGTGTTTGATTTTATAGTACGCCATTTCCACCTGACTCCCCATAAGAATAACTTTGGTCAGCCCCAACATGAACGCTTGCATATCGCGCCGGTCGTGTTGGTTTGCCCTAACCGCTTCCGTCAGAACGTTGCTAGAAAACGTGGAACCATGGGATACGATGTGACTGTATAACAATTGGGCGCTGTTCTCGTAAACACATTCATAAACAGTAACAAAAGTATCCCTAAAGCTCGTAAACCCATCACCACTGGCATTGTAGAGCTTCTCTAATTCCAGTTTCATAGCATTTATTTTCTTTTCAAAGGTGAAAAACTGAACTCTAGCACGGTTCCAGTCCATTCTGCGAGCGATATCATCTAATTTTTGATCCACTTTGTCGAATCGATTATCAATTTGGGACAACATGTTACGCATGAATTGCAGTTCAGCGGAATCTTGTTGAAGACCGGCTATAGCTGCTATGATCCCAATGGCAGGGCCAACCATTCCGAGATATGGACCGACTCTGGTTGCCAGCTTCCCCATGGTGGATGCAAATTTCTTATCGCCGATGGCTTGGGCCAACTCGGTGCCAGCGGTGATACCATTATCCACTATGTCATTTCCGGTCTGTGCGAATATTACTGATGTAACCACTACAGAAAGGAGCGCCCAAAACATCAACTTCATCTGCAAAATAGGGATACAAAATTAGTGAAACACAAAGCTATACGAAAAAATGTTATAATCATGTGGGCCAGTGATAAACGATGTGAATAAATCAACAATGATGAAAATGAAATCAACTCAAGAAAGTTTATATAAGTTACAAGACCAAAGCTTTTTAGAGGAAAATTTATAGTTCTAGTAAGAAAGCCTTCTATTTTGGGAGAAAATGTCAAAGCCCAATTGAACTCATGGGCAATCGTGTATGCTACCACCATTGAAGTAAAACGACTCGATAAATATTCCCGAGTCGGAGCGGTTTAAGAACTTGGACAAATGTAGGAATATTATTTAAAATACTGAAAAATTCTGCAAATTTATGCTTCAAAATACGTATTTCATCACGGTAGTTATTCCACTTAAACACGCCAGTCTGTTTAAGCATTACAATTAACACAGTACTTGTGAATACTTAAAAATTCATTTTTCCCAACTTCTAGAGAAGGACATTTTTACGTTTTTCTTTTTACTATACTTTACAGTCTACAAATGATAAACTTCTTGAAATTTTAAAACTGAGTGCTTACCTTGCTTCTCACGGTGTTTCTTCTATCGTCTGCTTCCTTTTATTGGCACCTAATGAAAACTTGTGCTCTTGCATGGTACCTTATATAGTGTCCGAGAAAAGAACAAAATCCTCGCCTTTTTCGGGGAAAACTCTCCTCGACAAGTTTACATGTACGTTCTGTCAAATTTCAAAAAGCCACCCCTTGGCCTCAATACATAAGAAAGTGGGCGGAGTTCGGAAAATTTTACTGTGAGTTTAGGTTCCAAGAAAGGGGAAGGCAGCTCTAAGGGAGCTGTGTTGTGATTGATGTTGTTTAGTATATGACTTTCCAGCATTTAAATGTACATGAAAATTAAGCGAACAAAATATATGGGATTGCTTGTCTTTATGTATATATCCATATTTTTGAAGCATAATCTACAAAAATATGCTCCTTAAATTAGTAACATTTTGTGTTTGTATGGAACGCTTGATGACACGCCCATTTTTTCAGTAACAAAAGAGCTGCAACATGCTTCATTCGAATAACGGTAGGACAGGGATTTGATAAAAATACAATAGCCAATCAGAAAGGCAGTGGACATAAACAGCGAGTTAGAGCGTGTTCGATTGATACATGTGTTGTGATCACTTCAATAAGCAAGGTAAGTTTCTAATTTTGTAAACATCAGTAGCAATGCACATATTTTGAAGAATCTCGAGTGTCTGACTTTCACCTAACTTCATAGAATCTCCTCTTCCGCAAAACCCCCTGTTATTAGAAAGTGTGGTTACTTTAAACAGGTCGAGACCACTACCTTATATGGAAGGCAACTTTCAACACGTGACGAAACCTTCGTCACACCCGTTCGCCAATCAAGTGAATGAGTCCGAAAGCATGACACTCTACTACTTGTTTACGATTCGATGGCGACACGTGGTTTTCGTCGATTTCTGCACAATATTCACTTCGTCACCGGAAAAACCGTAGAGCTTCTTTGTCACTTTTTAAGTCCGAAATTGAAAGATTACATTCCCAAGAAATTGCTCCATGCTCACATTTAATATTGGAGTTGTTTTATATGATTAATAGTTGCATCAAAAGTTCGAATAGTGTGCAAACGCTTTTATGTTTGCATGTACATTAAAAAACTTTTTGATAATATTTAGGGGTTAAATAATAATAGCACACCTTGTACTGCTGTCTAAAACTATGTACACGTATATCACGTGAAAAAAACTCAATGCTTTATCGACACGATAGCACCTACATGTACGTCTCTTCGAACAATGGTTTAAGCCGATTCATTATAAATTGATATAAGGCTTCATAAAGGAAATTTTGTAAATGTGAGCATAGAAATGAAAGATTCTACATCATTTTAAACATTTCTTTCAAAAATTTCAAAAAAGAATTGAAAATAAGTTTCCAAGGGACAATTCAAGTTGGCCTTCATTTTCAACACAGCTGAGTACTTGTAGTAGCCCACAATGCATTGCGACTCATTCATCAGTGGGTAAAGTAAACAGATAGCTAATTTACATGCAAATTTATTCTGACGTCAGAAAATTTAGTGGTCTCGACCTGTTCATTCAAACGATAGATATCAATGCGCATCATAATGATCAGTGCATGCAGTCTCTAATAATGAATTCAGGCACGTAGCATCGTTTATGAAAGCGGGGGGGGGGAAATTTTTTTTACTTCCTAAAAAAGTTGACAAGCAAAAAAAAAAAGAACCGAAAATTAAAATTGCCCAAACTCAAAAATCCTATTTCGTGGGGGGGGGGGGGGGGGGGGGGGGGGGGGGTAGTGGCCAACTTTTTCAAGGCCAACTACCTTTCACTTCCAATTTTTTCCTATACTTCCTTGCTATACATATACTTTGTTAAAAATTGGGGGAGCCAACCATCTTTTCAATTGACATTTTCTATAGTAAAGGTAATGTTGGGGAAAAAAAGGGGGGCAGGCTCCCCCTGCCCTCCCCCCCTCCGTTGCTACGTGCCTGGAATTTCATATAAATAATATTTATTCATCATAAATAAATAGTAAAATTTATAGCGAAATAATAATCGAAGGTCTACCTTTTCTTAAACTATTAAAATAAACAACAAAATATACATCCAGATTTTACATACAAATACTTAGTGAGCAATTATTAATAAATACTTCATCAATTCTTATTCAATATACATAACAAGAGGCCCATGGGCCACATCGCTCACCTGAGCACTGTGGCTAGAAAAAAGTAGAAATTGGTTTATTATTGAATAGTTTAAATCCAAAAGTAGCCCCATTGTCATGTTGTAAATTTTGAATTTACCGGGTGGCAGTAAATACAAAATTTACAACCTGACAACTCATGTTGTAAATTTTGTATTTACTGCCACCCGGTAAATTCAAAATTTACAACATGACACCATGACCAATCATGGCTTTGCTATTCTTGAGAAGATGATTTTTAAAAATTTTTCCTATATATGTCTATGTAAAACTTTGATTGGCCATTTTGGCCCCGCCCTACCCCCGGGGGTCATGATTTGAACAAACTGGAATCTTCACTACCTGAGGATTGTTCCATATAAATATAATCAATTATGGCTTTGTCATTCTTGAGAAGAAGATTTTTAAAGAATTTTCCTATATATTTCTATGTAAAACTTTGGTCGGCCATTGTGGCCCTGCCCTACCCCCGGGGGTCATGATTTGAACAAACTTGAATTTACACTACCTGAGGATGCTTCCTTATAAATATGATCAATTATAGCTCTGTTTTTCTTGAGAAGATTTTTAAAGAATTTTCCTATATATTTCTATGTAAAACTTTGGTTCGCCATTGTGGCCCCGCCCTACCCCCGGGGGTCATGATTTTAACAAACTTGAATCTACATTACCTGAAGATGTTTCTCCATAGGTTTCATCTTTCCTGGCACAATGGTTCTTGAGAAGATTTTTAAAACATACCACCAAATTTTCATTAATTCCCAATTATTTCCCCTTGAATCAGAGCGTGGCCCTTCATTTGCTTTGTGGCAAGTTTGGTTGAAATTGGCCCAGCGGTTCTTGAGAAGAAGTCGAAAATGTGAAAAGTTTACAACGACGACGACGACAACGACATTTAATACATGTACTCGTACATACGTAGAAAAAGACCTTCTCATCCACCTCCCACCAAAATGACTAAAAAACTGAATGAAATTAAAAAAAAAAACGCCGCCACGTATAAGTTCAAAATATTTGGTCAATTAATCAATTATCGTCTATCCGTTTATTATTACACATTATTTTTATCACAATGTGTATTACTTAGGTTGAATTACAAATTTCAGATTAAATCTAATTTATGATGGAGCATATCTGATGTATAATTCATTACTTGTGGAAAAACATGCTTCTTGAAAAACTCACTTTTGAATACATGCATTTCTTGAGATTCAATCACATTAGAGTCGTCAATAATACTCACTATATTGGGAAAATTAGGGGAATAGATAGTTTTATCTATGAGGAAAAATTCTTTACTGAGAAAGAGAGAGAGAGTCTTATTGAATTCTCTTACGAAAACTCCTCTCCGGAGCATTGTAATACACTGAAAGAAAAAGCTATTAAATTTAACTAGTGTGCCTCGTAAAGCGTTTGTCATGATTAGTAATCTTTCAGTTTACTGGCTAAGATAGTGAGTTTTGAAGCGGGGGACGTATAGATACATACATACATAGTGAAAGTTACTTATCAATTCTAGATTTACTAGTCTTATTTAGTAATTAAATATACCCAATACCTAGTAAAACTGCTTTTAAGGTAGTGATTGTATGGACAATAAATTTACTAGTTTCCTTAGTGACTTTAACTAGCTATTTTTTTTTACAGTGTAAGGTGGTGATTTCCGTCAATTCTGAACCATTAATTATATCATACCCAAACTTTTTGTAGTTTTCTTACTATGAAAAAAAAATCCCTTTTGACTTTGCTGTTCTATAAAGCGATGTATATGACTGTACATACAATCTGCTGAAACACTGTAGTGATATCAAGTGATAACACCCAGTAATAAATATTTTTACAGATAACCCATTATAGATATGGCCCCAACAAGGACTTCGATAACGGTGATAAAATATGCAAGTCTAATTTAATGATGCATTTTTATATTTAAGTACGTACTATAAAAGGTATAAGAATATATAAGAATGGCGCTTTCACCAAAAATAATCACGACAACTTCTCATCCACAAAACAGAGGGGCGTGTGATTGGTAAGTTCATTTTATTGTTAAGGGGGAGGATCCAACAATTCATTAACATGTTCCTTTTGAGCTTGCAACAGATTGCTGCGTGCATATTTACTATCATAGCCTGTTTACCTTTCTTAATTTATTTGGGGGGGGGGGGGGGAGGGGGGGGGCTTCCAAAGAAATATTTGTAAGTTTCTGAATATATATCACATATTTTTCATTTATTTTAATCTCGTCGTAGGGGTTGGCCTGGACTGGTGGCGTATGGATCACATCAATATGTTGTTGTGGCGGATCCAGCTTCCTCTCAGGTGTATATTTAGCAATGGAAAAGTTATTTAATTTTAATGCAAATTTGTCAAACAACAACAAAAACAAAAAATCAACAAGTATATTTATTTTTAGGTTACTCAAGTACTTGGAATACACAAAGGATACGTTACTTGCGTAAGTATGTCATTACAATACTATAGCAGCAGAGCAAGATTTCACAAAAACTTTTGTTGGAACAAAAATATTTTCTGTTCCTCTAAGATAATTTGAAGATGACGTTACTTTTAATCAAAGATTATAAGTCTACTAAGGGGATTATAAAAACTGGAGAAAATATAAATGCATGAAAATACCATGATAATGATTCTACGTGTAGGTTAAATGGAAACCAGAGGACATACACCACGACGTGGTTGTCAACCCTTACACGTTAACGCTGGCTGCAGGTGACGCGCAGGGTAACGTCGGGCTATGGAACGTTACTAAAGGAGAGACCAAGGCAACATTTGTCTGCAAAGGACGGTCTGTAAGAGGTAAATAAATACTAACAAGCTAATTCAGATAATCTGTGTCCAATAAAGGAAACAAGCAAATTCAGAGAATCTGGGTCATCCGCATGAAGGAAAAAAGAACATGCGCGGATCTAATTGGGGGGTTAGGACTGGGGGTGTAGGGGGCACTTTAATAAGGGCGGGAGAGGCAATAGAGTTAAGTTTAATTGCAAAAAACTCAAAAGCTTCATGAGATATTGCCCAGAAAGGAAAGTTTAAGACATACACGGGCACAGAATGTATGGATTTATCACATTGACCTTTAACCCTTTCGACCTAAAAAAAGGGATCTTTCTTATTAATATGCCATTGGGAGTTGGTATAAAATATGTTATTGAAAAATCGCTCAGGTTTCTTGAGATACGTGCGGAAACGAAAGTGACAGAATTTTTTGAACGTATGACCTTGATCTTTGTCCTAATGACCTAAAAACAATTATAGCCTTTATAGGGATCGGGAGTTGATGTGCATTATAACATTTCCAAAAGCTGAAAGGTTTCTCAAGATATCATGCGGGAACGAAAGTGACAGAATTGTTTGAATTTTTGTCCTTGGCCTTTGACCTAAAAACAATAGGAATCTTCCTTAGGCCATAGGGAGTTGTGTAAAATTTCAAAACGAAACGAAACGAAAGGGTTACAGACAGACAAAAATACAGTTATACAGACAGCTGGCCATACGGACAGACAGACCGACATTAATATCCCCAACTTTCAGTGGGAGTCAAAAAGAAAAGAATGCGCTAATAGGCCGGGTAGGGGGGCACTTTTAGAAGGGCGGGAGGGACCATTATAAGGGAGCTATGGTGTAAAATGCAATTGAAAAGACTCAAAAGCTTATGATATCACCCTGAAATGAAAGTTTCACACACACAGAATATATTTAAAATTTACGACCTTGATCTTTGACCTTTCGACCTAAAAAATGGGGGTTCTTCTTAGGTCATAGGGAGATGTGCCATAAAATGTCTTTGCAAAAGCTCAAAGATTTCTTGAGATATCGCGCGAAAAAAGAATGTGTTAAAACATTTCATGTTTTTTTAAAATTCTTAGCCTTTACCTTTGATCTTTTGATCTCAAAATCGATAGTGATCTTCCATAGGCCGTAGGGAGTTATTGTGTAAAATTTCAATCCAAAATCTTAAAGGCTTCTCGAGATATCGCGTGGAAACGAAATTGTGATCGACACACAGAAATACAGACAGACGGACAGCTAGACGGACGGACAGACAAAAATTAATATCCCTCACTTTCAACGTGGGACAAAAACATGAGTATAGTACATATATTAACGTACTAAATAAACCTTTGTTCCAATGTACTTCACCCTATCTAATTAGCGCGAGTTTTTAGCTCACCTGAGCCGCAGGCTCAAGTGAGCTTTTCTGATCAAAATTTGTCCGTTGTCTGTCGTTGTCGACGTTGTTGGCGTTGTTGTAAACTTTTCACATTTTCATCTTCTTCTCAAGAACGACTGGACCAATTTCATCCAAACTTGCTACAAAGTATCCTTGGGTAAAAAAAAAAGGGATTCCAAGTTTATTCAAATGAAGGGCCACGTCATCTTGCAAGGGGAGATAATTATGAATAAGTGAAAAATTAATGGCATTTTAAAAAAAAATCTTCTTCTCAAGAACCACTGTGCCAGGAAAGTTGAAACTCCTGTGGAATCATCTTCAGGTAGTTTAGATTCAAATTTGTTCAGATCATGACCCCCGGGGTAGGGTGGGGCCACAATGTCCGATCAAAGTTTTATAAGGAATATATAGGAAAAATCTTTAAAAATCTTCTTCTCAAGATCCATAGAGACAGGAAAGTTGAAACTCAAGTTGAATCATCCTCAGGTTGTGTAGATTCAAGTTTGTTTAAATCATGACCCCCGAGGGTAGGGTGGGGCCACAATGGACAATCAAAGTTGTACATAGGAATGTATAGGAAATATCTTTAAAAATCTTCTTCTCAAGAGCAATTGGGACAGGAAAGATGAAACTCATGTTTCATCATCCTCAGATAGTGTTCATTCAAGTTTGTTCAAATCATGACCCCCGGGGGTAGGGTGGGGCCACAATGGCCGATCAAAGTTTTACATAGGAATATATAGGGAAATCTTTAAAAATTTTCTTCTCAAGTATTGCAAAGCCACGATTAGTGATATTTATATGGAAGCATCCTCTGTAGATACGGTTGATTCCAGTTTGTTCAAATCATAACCCCCAGGGATAGGGTGGGGCCACAATGGGGGGTCCAAATTTTACATTAAAACATATTTTAAAAATCTAAAGCCATAGTTAGTGATATTTATATGGAAGCATCCTCAGATAGTGTAGAATGAAATTTGTTCAAATCATAACCTCCAAGGGTAAAGAAGGGCCTCAATGGTGAATCAAAGTTTTACATAGGAAAATAAAGGGAAAAATCCCAATAACAGAAAAGCTATGTTTAGTCATATTGACATGTAAGCATCCTCATCCATTGAATTTTTAAATTTGTTCAAATCATGAGTACCCTTTGGGGTAGGGAGAGAAGCAATGGGGAGTCAAATTCAATTTATTACAAAGTAATATATACAAACAAAATGTTAAAAAAAAATCTATAAAAATCTTTTTCTGAAGAAGTTATATGCAGTATTGATACGGAGGCATTCTCAAGTAGTATTAGAATTCAAGCCCTCTACGAACGCCCCCCTCAGTAAACTTTTCAGTTCTGATCTGATTAATGTGCTTTTTCCTAGCTGATGTGCTCAGGTGAGCAATGTGGCCCCTGGGCCTCTTGTTATATTTGGAAGGGTTAAATTTAGAGAAAGTGTTTACATAATTTTGGAATGGAAAAGTTTAGGGGAAAAAAAAGAAAAGTTACATTTAGAAGGATAAAAGAGTGAAGGATAAAAGCGAAAAGGGAAAGAAAAAGAAGGGAGTGACAAGCAAAACAGAGAGAGACTTCCTGTCAAATTGCATCTTCTTTTTGCCGTGTTAAGCTCAATATTTCCCCTTTTATTCCATAATTTTGTTGCTTTCTTATCTTTCAGATATTACTTGGATAACAAACCAAGAGACAAGCGAAGCGACTGTTCTAGCACTGTACAACAAAAGTGACGTCATTATGTGGGACTTTCTTACTTCATCCCAACTTTGGAAAGCTTCATTTGCGGAACCATTGTCAAACATATGCATTGATCCGTTCAACAAAAGCAATGCAATATGTAAGTAAATGATCTTAGAAACAACAATGGAATTACAGCCCCTGGGATATTTGTTACATAGTAAACTTTTTAGAATTCTTGCAGAGATGAAACCCATAATACTGATCATGGATCAATATTTACTGTACAAAGTTACCCACACCCTACCCCCATAGTAAATCCTTTTCCATGAAAAAAGATATTAAGCTTTTTAGTCATTTTTCCTGGAAGGGGTGGGGGTCTTTACTAAGGGGTAAGGTTTCCTTTATGACACTGATATACTGACGATGAATGTTTTCACTAACCTAATGTATATTCTTTTTCAGTTCTTTGTGAAGACAGTAATATTCTGCTGATAGAAGATCTACACCCAAAAACACCACCTTCACAGAAATACAAACGGATCAGCTTTTACGGCGCAAATGGACCCTGTAAGTTAACACTCGGGGATATTTCAGTTTAATCATGTGAGCACTATAGCTTCTTTGTGATGAATGATAAAATCTACAGTTTTATTAATATTATAACTAGATTTAATAATCAGTTACGTTTCCAATATTTCTCAGTTTTGTCTGTTCTGTGTCTGTCACATTAATTGCGTCTGCTCCATTCTGTTTTTTTTTAATATCAGAGTTCAGTCATGACATGAAGCCTTCAAAGGCTGGTAATGTTGAGAGGTCATATGTTAAGATCTCTCTGAGGGATGATAACATGATATTGAAATGAGACTAAGGATATCACTTATTAATTCTTGACTGGATTAAAATTGAAAAACCTTTGGTGCGTTTGATTTTAATGTGTCTTATCTCCTTAACCGAAGATCATTTCTCAACGGTCAAGATCAGTAGGGAATAAAAACATAGATGTAGAAATGATGCTGTATATGTGAAAATAAGTAATTCAGTAACTTGAACGTGTTCAACATTGCGTAATATGGATCAAGGACATCTTTTCAAGGACGTGGTGATGACCTTTGGTATGGTTTGCGAAGGATGAAGATCTCTTGTCCAAAAAACTACGGTTCTAAATGTTGAATTCATCCCGTTGAGCTATATTAATTGTACAAGCAGCAAATTGATTTTATACTTCATATTTCATAAAACAATGTAATTCTCTGAAAAAAGAAAACATTATGCATTGTAGCTCCGGAAGTTTCACAGCCTACAGACGAGCAAGGGAATATGAAAAGGAACCCGTCCTCTCTCAATAAGCTCATCAACATGACGACTTCACTCATTACAGGGACTGGTGAATCGCGATCAAGGTCAGCATTACAATAATCAAAAGCAGTAATAAGAGCAACGGAAATGCACCTGACATTTCTTTCTTGATATTTTGAAGGACATTTTTATAAACTTGAATGTTTATTTTTCTTTTATCGCCCACTTATGAATAAATATATTTTGTGTTTTTTTAAAAACGATTTTGATTTTCCAAAAAGAAATGTAAATTTGAAATTAAAAAGGCACATATTAAATCATCCTTTGTGAAAAATACTTGATTAACATATGACAGAAATTAGCAATTATGATCAGAAAATAGCCCTTGAGCCATTAGCTCAGGTGAGCTAAAAATGCATTAATCGATATATCCATGGACAACAATGCTCACCGAGTCATACCTTTCTATAGAATATGATAGATAAAATCCATCACTCTGGTCTTAAAGAATTTCAAAAGCTTGGAATTTGGAGCATCGTCCTTCCTTTCCATTTGTTTCAAAACTCTGGGATAGCCTCACTTTATTCCTATTTGTGCATTTTAATATCTCATTTTTAACTGACCCTCCTTTCAAAAATCAGATGAAAAAAACATTTCATATGTTATGTTTTGCAAGTAATTCTTTCCATATTATTTTTTTACTCGCTTATCTACAGTAGGAAAAGCATATCTGAGGACGACAGATCGTTGCAGCAGCAGTGTCTGCAAGTAACCTTTCATCCGGGCATTCGTCACGTCATCTTTATGGTGTACCCTTCTCAAATAGACATAATAGATATTGAAGCCTGTATCATAATGGCAACAATACGTCTGGATTCAAAATCATCCTACTTTGTTAAAGTGAGTTGATTTATTATCTAAATGTCATATTAGAAATCTGATATAAAATGTATATTTTATTGATTTTTTTATTTTAAACTAAAGCTTTAAGAAAAACAAAACAACAACACCCCCCAAAAACCTACTATTTAATGGCACCAATCACATAATAATCCTCTCTGTAATGGAATTTGATAATTAAAATCTTATCACGCAAATGTACAACATCTGGGTTGTGTAATATTTCACAGATCATAAATATATGACAGGAATATCATTCTGTGTCTCAAAAGGTGCTGCCCTGTAAGCAAAGGGACGTTCTTTATTGTCTTCATGAGAATGCCTGCATCACCATTCGTGTAAGACGTCTAGACAAGTCACACTGTACATACAACGAAAGCCAAGTGTCGACTCCATCCACGCCTATAACACCAGGTACTACGGAAACCCGGACGTGTACAAATTTCTTCTAAACAAGATTTAGTCGCATGCATGTATCTTATTAGTATATACATGTACTTGGTTTCCACTAGATAATGATTATTTTACGGAAACCCAGAGTTGTATAAATTCCTTTTAAACAAGATATAGTGGCATACATGTATTTCTTCAAGTACTGATTAGGTTGTGAAGAGATTTATTTTGGCATGGTGAAATTTTACCAAATCACTACACCATTTATTTACCTTTGTAGTAGAAAATAGAAATTCTGTTCTTTGAATCAACTACCATTCAGATCCTCAAGAAATTTCAATTTCAGTGTTTTTTTGTCAGTCTAAGTATGATTAAAAAAATATATGTATATTAAAAAAGAATTATTTCTACCATTCGTTTGTTTGTTTCAGGGTTTGGTGAAATGGAAACAGACAAATCCGATATCGCCTATGATTTGATTTGGCAATCTGACGCCGTCCGTATCAGTAACAAAAGCACAGTTTACGGATTTAATGTACATCCGGTCACAGAGGCATGCGCAGCACTAATATTCAGTGACGGGAAAATTATTACTTGGGAACTCGTCAGTACCAATGTACGATATTTTTTCCAGAATCCTTGCTTCTTAAATAAGGGTCCTAGGATTGTTTTAAAGCAGAGATTTCACATTATACCCAAGGACAGATTTTCTGTTATTTTGTAATCATGACAAGGAGCACACGGCGGCTGTGACCGGTCAGCAGGGGATGCTCACTCCTCCACGGCACCTGATCCCACCTCTGATGTTTTGGAGGTCCGTTTTTGCTCTGCTCCTACTATGTATTGTTTAATGGACTTTTGAGCTTGAGTACTGTTTGTTATCTCCATATATTTCATACATATATGTTTATCCATTCTAACTGGTGAATAAACTTTATGCTTACAGACATCTTGCTAACCAGCTTACGGACTAAAATAATTGCTGTCGATATGTTTTACATATAGGATGCCTTTTTGGAAGTTTATTTAATTTTTAAACCGGTTAAATTCCTATGAAGTAGAATTTACTCAAAAGCTATTACTTGAGAAAAAACGCTGTAGACATTAAGTCGACATTTAGATATAGTAACCTCCATTCATACGTCTACTCGATGTATCCCAGTGAACTCGAAAAAAGACACCATGCAGAATCTGACTCATCTCTTCATATTATTAACTGTAAACGACTAAACTGAATGGTAAACGTGGTAACTTCAAATTTTCTTCGTCAGCTTTCTTTATTTATGTAGTTATATCGACAACTCCATGCATGTACATGTATAGTGTTTATGTCCCCTAGCTTATAGAATGTCTACGAGCATGATATGAGTACGGTCAATTTTAAACCAAGGAAAACTATTAGCAAATAAATTGATGTTGCAGAGATTTTAACAGCCTCGTTTAAGGACAGAATTTCTTCAAATCTATGTTAGTTACAATGCCATTGTTTGCAAATACAAATGAATGCGGTTCTTTTGTCTAATTGGTCAAGGCAAATAAGGGTACCCCAATCTCATTCAAAGCAGGTCGATTAGAGAAGGTTACTCCCCCGAGGCACCTGATTCAACCTCTGGAATATCCAGAGGCCCATATTTAATGCCCTGTTTATAGATTTGCTTTGTTTGTATAATTTAAAATTAACCTTACACTGTTGTTACATGTATCTACAATTCTGAACTTTTTTCAATTAAAGATAATAACATATAAATCAACAATATCTTGTTACCAATATGTTGTATCTTAGTCTATTTTTCATACTATTTTAGACCCATGCTTTGGTTCTAAAAGACATGTTACCTGGTTTGAGTAAAAAGGGACAGAAAAATTTACTGATGGAAGGTAACCGATTCCTTATGACAGGAATGGTTAAAGGTTTTCCTTGGTCTGTCTGTACAATCAAGAGTAACTCACTGGAGCAGGTGACAACAGCCAATAACCCAAACAGCCAATCAAAGGAAACGTTACTGGCTCTAGGTACATTTACATGTAGTTTTACATAAAAGCCAATCAACGGAGACGTTACTTGCGCATTATATACATTTGATAGTATCTCAGTCCAAACTATATATTTCTCTTACCTAGATAAACTAGTTTTACTATGTATCAAAAATATTGACTTTATACATTTCATTACTTCACGAATTCTAGATAAAAAATATGAAATCGTATCTTTTTAGACTTATTTTTAATTGATAACATGATTTTTTTTTGTTTTATTTTAATAATTTTCATATATATTTTTGTAGCTGCGGTAAAATTGTTTTTGAACAAACAACAAAGAAACAAAATAAAAGCGTATTGATCCAGCCCGCATAGTGGGATTAATTCAAGGAAATAAATCTTCATGTTAAAAGTTCATATCTGTATTGTTAGGAATGGACAATGGTGATATTTCAATCCTTAATATACAGACGGGACAAATCGAAAGAGAATTCAGCGTTCATTCTGATTCTGTGAAGTAAGTAATTAAAATTACTTGAAGTAAGAAATTAAAATCCCCTCGAACTTCTGTATGAACTTTGGATATACATGTAAAAAATATCTAACTACTCTCCTTAAAATATACAGTAAGTTATCTAAAGCATTGCTATGTCGAAAACCAAATATAAAAAAAAAAGATTGCCATGCACCTCATATGTAAGTTTGAAAAGTTTTGAGATTTGTATCGAATTTTCGACATCTCGAAGTAAGTTGTTAGTCCGAATTCGTGAGATTTGACCTTTTCTATTTCTTAATTCGGTTTATTTAAATTATCTTTATTGTAATATTAGCAATTTTCAAGTATTAAAAGATGTTCAAAATATATATAAGTAAAACGAAGGTAAATGTGTTATGTCATACAGGACAATCCTTTAGACAAAAATGTTGTTGAAGGTAAAAAATTAAACATATATTATTTTAGAGTTATCTTTCTTTGCACAAATCCACCTTAAGGCCCAGTGTCTTAATTATTTGTAGAAGCATCGAATGGTTAAATCAAAACATACTCATGTCTTGGACGTGTTCGAAAAGTGGAAACTCGCCTACGATGGGAAGAAACGAAGTGTTACTCACATGGACTCGATCAGGTTAACTACGGTATCTGAACTTCAATAGAAAAATTGTTTGTTATAGCAAATATAGAATATATGAATATTTTAGAAGATGACTTCTTTTAGGTTTGGTAGAAGTTTTCAGACAACGACTGAAACTGGAGAGTTTAATAACAAATATCAAGGTGTCTCCTCTAAGGTAAGTTCTATAAAACCTACTCACTTCTTTGACTTGAATAAATGTGGCTAATTGATCGAAATGCTCATCTACAAATATTAAAATACACGTATCATTAACTAGAATTCATACACCATAATTTTCTCTCTCTCTCTCTCTCTCTCTCGTAGCAGTTATATATAAGATATCATATATAAGATATTGTATTGTTATACTGTAGTAAGACATAAGAGGAAGTAGAGTTTAACCCTACATTCAAAGCACATCGAGACTTAAACGCTTCTTTTTTTTCTTCTTTCAGGCAATATGTTGTTATTGCATTCAAAACGCAGCCGTTAGAGGTATGGTGTCTAAAAACAAGGTCTTTGTTGAGAGAAATGCCAACAAACTTCCCGCAACCAAAAGCACTGGTAAGATTAGCTTTCTCTTAAAGAAAGGAAAAACCCCTATTTATCATCATGAAATGATACTACCTGCGTCCGTTTTGGAAACGACATATATATTTTACTTACAAATTATTTACTGTAAAGTCGAGGATATGAAGAATATGAGGTACTAGTATCAAGCCAAGGAAAATTAAATGTTAATCCTCAAACTAACTTTTAAAAAATACATTTTTGCTAAACAAATACGGTGTATGTACCAAAGTCTCAATTTGCCTCAAAAATCCCCTTAATGACGCAAAATCCATAACGAAAAATACATGTGGGTTGCAAATAATTTGATTTTTATAATGTACATAAGAAGCCAACGTCATTTGAACCCATGTTCACCAATCTTCTTTAATATTTTGCAGACTTGGGCTCCAATGTGTAGCTGGAAGACAGTGGTCAGACAACTGAGCCAGAGGGGAATAAATAAAGACATTACAGACATGACGCAAGATGATATAGCCAAGTAATGCATGGGCGGATCTGGGATTTTGACCCTCGGGTGGGGGGTGTATCGGACTCAAAGCCAAATGGCTAAATTCGAATACCGTGGGTCAGACTCAAGGAGTGTTGACCCTTCCCTTTTCTCCTTTTCTTTACTCAGTGGTCTTGACTTTTTTTAAAATCGTGAATTGCTTCGTAAATTGGAGCCATTATGGCCCATTACCATATGCCATATGTATGATTTTTTAATTTCTCTGGATTATGAAAGATCTAATTCTTTTTTCAATTTACAGTTTATTACATGACAAGGAATACAAGAAGATTGCGAAAGAACAGTGCGTGCTAGCAGACAGGGACGGGACGATATGTAGAATAACGCTGGAGGAAAGATCGGTGTCCGACCTCACCATATTCCCTCCAGAGGTGATATCTAATACACGTTACTATTAATATTAAAACACGAATAAAGAACTTATTTTTCATAGTTAATGAAGTTTTTGACCAATGTACCTTGCCAAGCATAGTTTTAGATTTGCTAGTAAATACGGGTGTACATTTTCCAGGTAAACGGCATGGCGGCAGTGGCCCATATCGCTATGAAAGATGACATGCTGTTGTTAGGGGACATAACTGGCATGCTTTGCTTGTGGAATCTGACAGAGAAAAAGTTAAAAAGGTCAATAACATTTGTAATTATTATTAGTTTGTGCAAGATTTGAGAGAGAGAGAGAGAGAGAGAGAGAGAGAGAGAGAGAGAGAGAGAGAGAGAGAGAGAGAGAGAGAGATATAAATAACGTAAGTGTTTTTTTCCAGTCTTGTTTGCTAAAAAGTTGATTGACCTAAAAAAAAACACTTGCGCCATAAGGTCCAAATCCATATTCCTTCATTGTTCAACCAATTTTGAATTTTTATATTTGCGATTTTGAATTAGGAATCATTATTTTTCTGAATTAAATAAATTTTTGGAAGCCTCCTTTATTTAAAAAAAAATATTTTATAACGATTTTCCACCAAATATTTCTGCTATATTTTCTTAAACTTGGTAAGACAAAGAGGAAAACTCACCGAGTCGACCTCCAATATGGCGGCCAACGGGAGGTAACTTTTGCTAAAATAAGGCCCATCGAAAACGATCTTAAATTTGCCAAAAACAGCAGTCCTTATTTCTGCCTTCCTCCCGAAGAAGGTGAAGATAAGTTACAGTTACAAACTACAGCCAATACAAATCTGTAAACGGAGCATAAAACACGCCCCCCCCCCGGAAATGCGGGACTAGGTACCTATGAGGAGTAATAATCCCCTATTGACCTGTTATCCTCGACATGAGCTCTATGTATTGATCAGGTAGACGGAGCAGTGCAAAATTGGTATGAATTATTTGTGTCAGAAAGTTATATTCAAGGAATCGTTGTCTAGTTTGTTGAGTATGCATGGGCATCAACGATAGTTGAAACGTGGGATAAATCGTTGATGTCCCTGGCATACCCAACTTCCTTATATTTCCATTTCATAGATAAATAAAGTTGTAAATTCAGATTTTAAAAAATGCTGTCAATTTCAATAGTCACCGTCCGATGACGTCAGACACAAATATACAGCTGCAGGAGATTTCCTATCGCTTGGCGAAATTTACATTCCGGTAAAACGATCAAGAAATCAACTCAACTAACTTTCAAAGAGTTATCATTAAGTAAACAATTAGAAATGGAAATGTTTGCTAACAAAGTTATTATAACTTTACAATAAAATTTACAAAATGATTTTAAACGAGGTTTTTTAAATCAGTTTGTTTCTACAGTGTACCCCGATCTGGTGATAAACCCTACACAGGACTGAAGACCATTTTGTTTAACCCTAGTACCAGGGACCACCGGTTTGCCGTGCTGTATGATCAGGGTGTGGATATTTGGCTGTTCTCTCAGTTTCAGGATAAGGTCTGATGATTTCTGAAAATCAGCCGATTAAATTTCATTTCTGAAATATGTATAAATAGTGAATGAAGTATTTGATAATTATATAGTGTACGGTTATGATTGAAGATTTTAGTGCTTTCCTGATCTTCCAATTCATTGATGTGCCTGAAGATAAAAATGCATAAAAAATAACGAAAAATCCACGATTTTTCCGGAAAAATGGTAAATGATTTGTTTTGCTAATACAAACAAGATGTGTTTTTGAAAACACTGATGCCCGCGTATGGCAACATAGCGAAGATTAAACTTTTTAAAAAGGCAAATTAAATATTTTGGTACCCAAAGAACCCTTACCGTTCAAAAGTTAGGGCCAAGGTTAGTTTTTTCACAAGTACGGAAATCTCCAAGGTCAAAAGGTCATAGTTGTTGGTATCCAACAAAAGGTCTTACCACAAAGAATACATATGTGAAGTATGAATGCCCTAGTGTCTACCGTTCAAAAGTTATGACCAAAGTAATTTTTGAAATTGTAATTTTTGTGTAACAGTGGGTCAAACCCAAGGTCAAGATCAAAAGGTCAAATTTGGTGGTACCCAAAGAAAGGTCTTGTCACAAAAAATACACATGTGAAATATATGAAAGTCATAGCTCCACTAAATCAAAAGTTAAGGATGAAAGTTAAAGTTTTTTGCGGACAAACAGACAGACAGACAGACAGACACGGCAAAGCTATATAAAGCATAAAAAGGTTTTAAAAGGGTTGAATTGTAACATTTGTTTTTGTTTTTAGCTAAACCTAAAGTAACGTAAAGTTAAAGTTTTTTGCGGACAAACAGACAGACAGACAGACACGGCAAAAGCTATATAAAGCATAGAAAGGTTTTAAAAGGGTTGAATTGTAACATTTGTTTTTGTTTTTAGCTAAACCTCTTGGCTTCTATGAAACATGGTAAATCTATGCCAAAAGTTCAGCTGTTAGAATGGGCGGATCTCAATCACATCTCCATGGTGATGGACGATGGATCGATCCACGTGGTAGATATCACGTCATCAAAGGTCACGTGTTCATGGAATCAAAGAAATTCAATGGGTAAAATACTTGTATTATCATAATTTTACTGGAAATCCCTCGAAAATATGCAAATGCCACAAGGTATTTTACTACTATTGGACATTTATAAGTATTTCCTGAAAGGGACTCATGTTTATATCGCATTGGGCAAATTTTGCGAACCTTTTAAATGCTGGTGACATTGTTTGACATTGTTTGATCAGGGAAAAAATCTTTGTCAAATGTAATACATGTACATAAATTCATCAGAACGTTCAGTAAAAAACACATGAAATGTAATATATAATATTCATACTAAATCTTTAAAAATCAACACTGACGTATCATCCAACAACTTGTATGTTTAATATTAAATTATCCCAACAGACACGGTGTTTTGTCCACATACTCTTCCAGTACAGGGGTCCCTCATCCTTAAGTACCTCCTACAAAACGCCACATCATCCACTGTGGAGTACAGACTGTCTACTGACAAAGCTTACATGAAAAAAGCCATAGACGACCAGTTACGGCGGATCGATGGGTGTGTATTCTATTTCTGAATGCGGATTAGCAATTATTTGAGGTAATTTCTGAATTAACATTTTCTTGATTTTTTTTTCTGTTGAAGAGAAACGCTACAGCTTTTAACAGATGGAAAGTGTAGCACAGCACAGCGTTGTCTTACAACTGCACGGTGAGTTGCAATATGTCACTAGATATGTTCTTGTAAAGACTGAAAAGAGTCAGCAGCGCATTTCTTACCTAAAGATTTCCTGGAGTTACATACATTATCCATGGGTTTTTTACTTTAAATGCTTTGAGACTTAAAACTATTAATTTTGGTACTTTTTTCGTGTAACACCACAGGGTAAAATATTTGGGAAAATTGACTTGAACCTTTAGTTTTGTAAGCTATGTACTTCATAGAATTGGGGATTATTCATTAGTAAGAAATGAAAATAAACAATAATTTGTATATATTTACACTTGTATAAGATGTTTCCCTTTATATAAAAATACATTTTAATAACATTGATATATTTTTAATGTCATTTTTTTTATCAGATTATTAGGAGATGAATTTGACATCAACTTTTGGACAGCAGCTCTGTATTTTTTAAATCGTGCAAAAGATCAACGGGATAATCCAGTGAGCTTGATTTTTTTCAGTAGAAGAATTTGAGTCTGTATAAAAAGAATGGATGTAAAAAAAAAAATTAAGATTAAAGGTCGTAAGTTTCGCTTATAATACATGTATGCCTATATTATACAGCCGTAAAAGTGACGTGAGCGACATTAGAGAAGTAAACATTGTATTCATATAAAATAAAATTTATTTTTAGGATGAATGTTATCATATGAATACTGGAATTGAATTGTTGACGAATTGTCTGAGTTCTTTATTGGGTACAAGAACTATCCTCATTTTGACTTTCTAGCGAAAAGATCCTCTCCTTCTTTCCCTTGATGATGATCAAGTACCTGGGGACACCAGAAGTACAGACGACACTACTTCCGCTTGTAGTGAGGCGTGTTTAGACTGTTTACGACCTCAGTCTTGCTACATGGTAAGAAAAAACGCTATTGATACATAATTCAAGTGTTAACACGCAGATATACCTTGTCGCAGTGGTGACGGGACAGATTCGCCAATGCTGAATTACTGTAGAATGTGAGCGCTGATCACATGATTAACTTCTCTAAATTAATCTGTCTATTTTTTGGTTTTATAACATGATCAAGCAGTTTTCTAACGCGATAATTTGAATAAACGCCTCAACAAAAATACTTTGATTATACCCCACGCTTCAAAAGTGGGAGGGTATAAAGTGATCGGGATTTCCGTCCATCTGTAACCGTCTGAATTGTCTGTTACGCTTTATCTCTTATCCGCAACTCCTCTTATACTAATGAGTGAAATTTAATGAAACTTTCACAGAATCTTTATTACATATTGCCATTGTGCACCTCCTATTTTACTTTTATAACGTATTTAAGGTTTCCCATAGCAAAACATGGACATTGCCATTATATGTTTACCAATTACGTCACATAGAATTTGATAACATTTTAGGACGAGTTATTCCTCTTTACACATTACCGTAAAACAATATATAGCAAAACATGGACTTTGAGAGTTTTAATAATAATTGTTTGACTACAGTTTACCATTTTAATATAAACTACAATGCTCTAATATATCATTAAAATTTACTCTTGAATTCATTATTATTATCATATATAATAAGAACCCTTATATCTCTTAAATTCCACATCAACGATGTACATTTTTGAAATATATGAATGCAAAAAGTAGTTTCATGAGGTTTTTTTTTGGTTAATTTATTTACATAGAGACAACAACTTCACAGAATCGAGCAACACAGTAAAAAGAGAAAAACACAGACAGACAGACGGAGATGTATTCAGAACTTTACTATGATGGGAAGAGTTGAAGAAGCAACTAAAATTTTACTGGAAACGGATTTCCAGTCCGGAACATACCGTGAAGACTATCTGCAGTATTATTTACTCATTAGTATTTTTAATCAGTATTTCCAGTAGTTAAAGTCCTAACTATCATATCTTTCTAGGAAATTACGAAAAAGATAAGAAATTTCTAACGGCAAAAAACCAAAGGTGACCATCATTGTATTAGACCATTTTTTCCCTTTCACAAAATGATAAATTGTCTGTAGGTCTAAAGTATTTGAAATCCAATGAAGTGGCCGATTGGGCACAACAGGGGGTCGGAATTCTCTGTAGAAAATTAGAAATTAACTTTAAAACGCTCAAGAAATAATAGGGTCATGAGTATCGTCTGTGATCTTGTAAAGCACATAGTTACTTTATTGTTATTTTCAGAGCTTGTCTACTGTCTTGCGATAGGACAAACAGCACAGCACAAAGCACACTTAAACTTGTAGCCACTCATCTAATCATCTCCGGAAAGCTGCAAGGTACAAAGGAATTTGAAAATATCTTCCAATATGAACCATTGATATATGTTTTATAAATGCTACATTTTATAATTTAATTTTTAGAGGGTGTGATAATTTTGTGTCTGCTGGGTAAAGTATTGGATGCCTGTAAATACCTACAAACGTATGATCAATGGGAACAAGCAGCATGGCTGGCTAAGGTAGGATTGAATGAAAGAACTAAAAAAAATCTTCAAAAAAGTATGGAAAAGCATATTGGACAATAAGAACCGCATTTTCTAGAGATGTCGTACTTGTCCATCCGTCTGTCACTCTATCTTCTGGAATATAATTGTTGGTGTTAATGCCTTGAACCTTTGCTTATAAAGCTTTTTTCAATTGTTCAATTTCAGTTTGAGGGCAAAATAGGGGTAAAAAAGGTGTTTTTCTACAAAAGACCTGGTTCCCTGAAGTCCTCTTACTTTCATCCCGTCCATGTTTTGAAATGTAATAGAAAGTGTCCTCTAGATTTGCAAAAGGGTTTCAATTTTTACCCTGGGAAAATTTACTGTCTTATAACATCATCTTATTGGAAGAGGGTATGGGCAGCTTTAATTATTATTTATTAGTTATTAATTAATTTTCAAAAATTTCTATTTCAGTTGATGTTGAATGAGAAAGAGTGCGAGGAAATATTTTCAAAATGGATAGAACATCTGACATCGACAAAACAAATGGTAATTAATCTTTCTAACATCTTCCTGAAACAATATAGAGCTCTATTTATAGGGTAGTTTTAATGCAGTTAGAGTGATCTGCCCTTAGAAGGAAGATTTAAAAAAATGTTATTTACAGTTAATTACAGATTTTTAATAGATTAAAACATTTTAGCATTACATAAGACCAAGAATAAGTATTTAAATTCATTATTTTCATTAATTTTTTCATTGTAAGTAAACAGCAGTGATTTATGCTCACAAATAGTCCATTGTCTTTGGATATTTTTCCTGTGGAAATAAGGCAGGTACCCTATGTTACAAATAAATAGAATTGCCTCAATATGGACACCTTTTTATGATATATTTTTCTCAAAGTCCAAAAAGCAGTTTCTGTTAGTGTTTAGAGCTTCCTTAATTTGAGAAATTGGTTAAATTTTATAACAAACTATGTCATAATGTTCTTTCTCCAAACGTTTTGATTTCTTTGCAGTTGCATGCTGTTCTCATTATGATGTCTCAGACAAAATTTGACGACGTTTTTAAAACTCTCAGCTACATTGGTTATATAGAAACGGCGGCCAGCTTTCTCAATGCCTGCCAGGAACTCGGATTCCAGTTGGCAAAAGGTATAGATTTTGTGTACAAAATGTGTGAAACAGGCAAAAACAAAGAATTGTTACACATGAACTGTCTTATCTGAGGACTCTGTCTTGTCAGTCAATTATGCCACAGAAAAAATGGTTAAGTTAATGTCAAAATTAAAGTTTTTTTTGTAAACAGCACTGAGCAAAAGGATGAAGGTCATGAGGTCACACATAATAAAATCCGAAAGGGGCTCATGTAAAAAAGTATACAGAAGTCCTGTCTGCTTTGGAGAAAAAATTACAAAGTCAGAAAACGGATATAATTAAGTCAGAATTTTAGGAAATAAAGTAAAACAATTATGCGCGTTGTCATAAGCACAGATACCAAAGTCGCTTGAATATGACTCCCTAATATACTAAGCATATTATACATAATGGTAGGAGGTTAACAAATTAAAGCTAGTTATACTATAGTACAGAGTCAAAATTTCAAGCGAATGTAGTGCCAATGGTCACAGGAAATGCACATTAAAAAATATGAAAACCCTAACCTTTCTAATTCTAAGATTGTGATTGAGGTTAAAGCTTTTGTGACAGATAGACCGACCGAGAAACAAATGAGATTTAATGTCCCGTCGTCTTAGCGAGAGGGTATACCTTGTTTTCATTTGTGTATTGCTTTATATATTTTTTGTCAGATGATGCCGAGACGGTCAAGGAAAAATACCAATCACACGTGGAGCGACTGGGGTTGGCTTTTGTAGAATGACATCCTAATTATTGGATATCAAAGAAGAAAGTGAATAAACCAAATTACTGTATTGTAAAATTGTATTAAACACAATGAAAAATAAAAATATCTGTATTTTAAATGTGATTAAAATTACAATCTCTAGTATATTTGTTGACTTGTTTTTATACCAGGCCCCCTTCTTTACTCCTCACAAAGATATTAACAATAGTGAATGAGAAACCTCAAGAGTACTCAGTCTGGTCAACAGTATATTCGAGAAGTGGTTTACTTGTAAATCAGTGGTGGATCCTAAAAAAAATTCCAAGGAACTTTTGTAACATTTGAAATCACCAAATTTTGCTAAAACTAGCAACATAAAAACCAACGACTTTTCAACTTTATATACAACTATTCGGATTCCCCACGATAAATTAAAGTCCAGGGTTTTTGACATCATTGACAGCTGCTTTTACAATAAAAAGGGAACTCGTAAATTTACTTAACTTGTATTTGGTCTATTGCAAAATTACTTTGTTAAAAACATTCTAATTGTATACACAAGTACCCTAAAGCTGATATTAAAAAGATGCTTGAGTTTCTGATTGACGGTATCTATAAGACCAGGTCTTCCAACAATGTATTGGAATTCCCATGGGTACCAATTGCGCCCCGTTATTAGCAGACCTTTTTTTGTATTCATAAAAAATCGTATTCATATGAAGCAGAATTTGTTAAATTTTTTTTCGTGAAAAGAAAACACTTGCTGTGGCCTTCAACTTGACAATTTAGATATATCGACGATGTTTTGTCAATTAACAATGGTTATTTCCATTCTTATGTCGATACGATATATCCCGATGAGCATGAGTAAACATGATATATAGCTTGAAATAAAAAATACTACAAAGTATATCACATCTGTCTCATATTTGAATCGCTTATTAGAAAAAAAAAATGTTAATGGTTTTTATTAACATCAAAGCTCTATGATAAACGTGATGACTTACTTTTTAATCGTTAACTTCCCTTACTTATGCAGCAATATACTTTTGTCACATACATACGGAGTTTATATCTCTAAGTTGATTCAATACAGAAGAGCATGTTCTACATATGAAATATTTCTAAAACGAGGTAAGTTATTGACAAACAAGTTGATGAAGCAAGAATATCAACAGTTTTGTTTAAACTAATAATTTCCTACGTGCTATGGTCGATACTCGTGTAATGACCTTGACAGCATATACAATTTATAATTAAGTCAAATATGCTGACTTTTTTCATATTGATTGTTATGCCATTATTTACACGATGAGTTGTCCATGGATTTTTTACGTTATTTCTCGATCATGACAAGGAGCACATGGCGGGTGTGACCGGTCGGCAGGGAATGCTCACCCCTCCATGGCACCTGATCCCATCCCTGTTTTGCTCTGAATATGAATATTTACAATGTGGGTGGGTATTTAATGTAGCACTTGATATCATAGATACTACAGCACTTGTAAATGACTTTTAACGTAATCCTTCTTTGCTATGATAAGAATTCCAACAATATAATGTTAATCACTTTCTTCAATAATTTGACCTGTATTGTACATTGCTTTATTATATGTAGAAGGTTTGTTATCTCTGATGGCGTTTGTGTTTGTGTTTCGTTTCTAATACATTTGTATAGAATTTTGAGGAAATTTATGCCCCCCCCCCTTCAATCAAAGATTCGGGGGTATATAGTTTTGCCCTGTCTGTTCATCTGTCTGTTTGTTTATCCTAAATCAAAGGCCTGAAGGGCCACAATGGCGTCGCACTTTAGATATGGCAGTGAAACTGTGAAATTTTTGGATAATTTCAAGCATGTTTAAAATTATGCATATGTCTACAGAATCTTATGAGTTTAGTTGTATATCTAGAATACCCCGTTTTAAGCATTTATGAAATAAAAGCATTAAAATGGATACAGCCGTTACATGTCCCCAATAAGGAAGTGCAAGGAATCATTGCACAAGACTATTTCAGCCCAAGTACAAGTAAATCATAAAAAGTATTAGCTTTCTTAAAAAGCTTGTCTGACGTGAGCAAATTTTATTATTATATGAAGAACTTTAAAAAAGTTGAATTCAGTGTGATCAACATAATTCTGAGTCCAGAAATAAATTATTCTGCTAATAATAATAATAAAAAAAAATTAAATCCAGTTGTACCTAAATGAAATATAGCTTGGAGATGAATTTATTCTACATAGACTTATACTTTATTTAACTTGTAATTTTGTTTTTTTTATGGCCGTAGGAAACATGACGAGGGAACCCCCCATTTTTGCCGATATATAATTATATGCTATAGAAAACATAGCTACTTTATGCCTGTGTCCCAAATGTCATGTAAACAATAACATATTTATATTAACTTATTTGCTTGATCAAAAAATTCCTAGTTAGTGCCCCCCCCTTGAAATTTTTGGTTGTGCACCCCTTCCCCGTGAAATTTCTTCTTATTTGCCTTTTCCCAGATACTAGATAAAACCAGTGCTTATTAATTTTGAAAGAAAAAGTTACATCACACATTTTACAAATCTAAACATAATTTGGTGAACAGTTTGGAGAATTATGATAAATGCATTTCTTTTTAAAACACATTGTAATATATATACTTGTTAAATGAGATAACATCTTTCTAATAAACACAGAAAAAGTTTATCAACTATCATCATTTTTCTCTTGAAATTTTTAAACTGTGACTAAATTAAATGTCTGCAAAGTTAGGAATATGTGTAATTCTAAAGGCAGAAAGACTGTATGCAGTGAAAATAAACATCTACTAGTACTAGAAAATCTTATAACGTTGACCTGAAAAGCTTTACTGGATGTAGATGAATGATATTGATGCATAACAGAATGGCCAAATGTTATGTAACGTGTAATGTATAATGAGATAATAATTAGGTCCAATGCTTTGGTTTGTTTGGGTGTTTAGCATGGTTCTATTAATCCCCATGGTTAAGATAGAATAATATGAATTAAGCTTCCAAGATGAGTTATCACAATAATTCTACTGAAAGACTTGACCCACAAGCCTTGGCTAAATCTAGTACTGTCTGACACCAGACAAGCAAGTTCAAAATGAAATAAATGACTAACATGCATATTCAGAATGTGCTTTTAAATAGAATAAATGCAAAAAATTGGCTTATATTATCCTATGCCAGAAACATGAAGGCTTTGGTTCAAGTATTATATTATTTGGCGCATGAAGAAAGCAGTGAACAGTCAGAGATTTTCCCCATAGCTAGATGAGCGCCGAGCTAAAGCTCGCCGCCATAAAAACTTTAACATTTTAACCTTGTCTACAACTTCTGAATCTGTGGGCTATGGTTTTCATATTTCACAGTTAAATTCCTTGTGACAACACCTTTCTTCGGTTACCACCTCTTGACCTTAGAGTTTGACCCACTTTTACAAAAAATATCAAACTTTAAACTTGGCAATAACTTTTGAACAGTTGGTGCTAGGGCTTTCATACTTCACATGGGTATTCATGTGACAAGACCTTTCAACATTTATAAATATTTTTTACCTTGACCTTTAAGTTTGACCCACTTGGTCATGACTTTTGAACAGTTAGTACAATTCTCTGTTTTCTTCGAACTTTTAGTAAGGCGTGACATTCTCGACGTTGCATAATTCGCGTCTGAAATTTACACAGCCTTTCATTCACTGTTGAAATATACATGGGATAGAAATTCGGGCGAATGTCAACGAGTGTAGCAAGGATCCAATGATAGCGTTTCGTACGGCAAAGAGTGGGGCTTAAGTTGTCTCATCGTTGTCAACAACAAAGTTGCTGATGTTATTAATTTCTTAACCAATGAGAATATATTCGCCATTTGAGAGAGAATTGTACTAGAATTAAGGCTTTCATATTTCATAGGTGTTTCCAAATTTCTCAGTACATGTACAGTATTTGAAATTTTGACCTAAAATGTTTCAAAATTGATTATCTAGAACATTCACAAAGAAGGGCACGGGGACCTATTTTTTGTTGACAAAGTTTCATAATCCAGTAACTGACAAGTTTCGATGATCATAAACTTCAAAATTCCACGATATTATGCATCAAAATCAAACTGAAGATTAATGCCTACAAAATTCAAAAAGGAGGTCGCTGTGACCTAGTTTTGAGTCAACTGATATGAGATCTTACAGTATGGCCTTTTACTAGTATATAATTCTTGTACAACCTTTGTTTAGATACCTACAATATTGACCTTTTGATCTTGACCTCGGACTTTTGAAAAACTTGATACAGTAACTGGTCATAACTTTTGATCAGTAGGTACTGGGGCTTTTATATTTCACATGCATATTTCACTGATAAGGCCTTCCCTTAGTACTATTACATAGACCTTGGAGTTTGACCTTTGTTTAAAAAAGTTTAATCTTTGCCAAAACTTTTGAATGGTTGGTGCTTGGGCTTTCATATTTCACAGTAAGAGTATAATTATTGAGACAAGGTCTTTCTTTTGGTAAGAATAATTTTCATCTCTTGACCTTGGAGTTTGACTTTCATTGAGGGCCTCAGTTTTTCACAAACACAACTTGTTTTTGTTTAACAATTTTATTTTTTAAGCGCCGTGTTTATTTTTAATGTTTCTCTCACTGAGTGTCCATTTCCTGCATTAGTTCCTGGTACTCTAAATCTGCTATACAATCAAACCCGTCGTACTGCCGATTTTCCATTCTTTCCTGAAGCGTTTTTCGACCACGTGCATACCGTTCCTTCCGATCAGCGGCTATATTGTTTTCGGATTCGCAGGAAAAACATGATCTTGGGCTTTTGGTTCTGGTTATCCTTTGGTCGGGACTGATTATGTGATTGGTCGAGCTATTTTCTTGTAATGTAGACGATTGGCTGGACGCAATTACGTCAGACGTTGTTTGACACAGATCGTATGATGACGTTTGTGCTATAAGAGGTGACGTATTTGATGGATGAATGACCGTATTGGACGCCTTCCAAATGTATTTTCCACGCACACATTTGAAATGAACTCGTTTTTCCGATTGGTTGTGAATTTTAGCAAGAATCCTCTTTGCTTTTGTACGTCTGTTTGTAAACCAGTTCTACAAAGTAGAAAGAATATAATCAGAGGTGCATGAACCTTCTTTTTTTTTTTGTTCTTACTTTTTTATATCTGTCTGTGACAAACACTTTAACTTTGGTCATAATTATGAATGACGGCTTTAAACATGTTATTAAGTCAATATGTGCATTTCTGTGATGAGACCATTTCAAATGACCTCTCGTGACCTTGGAACTTGACCCTGACTAATAAGATTGCAAAATTAGATTTCTCTTTATTTTCTTGTTAAAGATTAACTAAAACAAGGACATCGCAAAACAAGAGGCCCATGGGCCACATCGCTCACCTGAGAAGCTTTGACCATTCTGTTCTTTACCAGATTTCACCCTTCTTATACATAATGCATCCCCACCCTACCCCACTGATCATAATATATATATATTTGAAAACTACACTACCCCATGTGTTCCATGGGCACATATGTTTCAGCTTTTTTGGCCCAGTGGTTCCTGAGAAGAAGATTTTCAAAGATTTTTCCTGTATATTTCTATGTAAAACTTTGATTCCCTATAATGGCCCCGCCCTTCCCCCGGGGGTCATGATTCCTACAATTTAGAATTTACACTACCCCAGAATGCTTCCACATAAGCTTCACTTTTTCTGGCCCAGTGGTTCTTGAGAAGAAAATTTTCAAAGATTTTTCCTATATATTTCTATATAAAACTTTGATTCCCCATTGTGGCCCCGCCCTTCCCCGGGGTCATTATTTGAACAATTTAGAATCTACATTATACCAGGATGCTTCCACATAAGTTTCAGCTTTTCTGGCCCAGTGGTTCTTGAGAAGAAGATTTTCAAAGATTTTTCCTATATATTTCTATGTAAAACTTTGATACCCCATTGTGGCCCCGCCCTTCCCCTGGGGGTCATGATTTAAACAATTTAGAATCTACACTATACCAGGATGCTTCCACATAAGTTTCAGCTTTTCTGGGCCAGTGGTTCTTGAGAAGAAGATTTTCAAAGATTTTTCCTATATATTTCTATATAAAACTTTGATTCCCCATTGTGGCCCCACCCATCCCCCGGGGGTCATTATTTGAACAATTTAGAATCTACATTATACCAGGATGCTTCCACATAAGTTTCAGCTTTTCTGGCCCAGTGGTTCTTGAAAAGATGATTTCAAAGATTTTTCCTATATATTTCTATGTAAAACTTTGATTCCCCATTGTGGCCCCGCCCTTCCCCCAGGGGTCATGATTTGAACAATTTAGAATCTACATTATACCAGGATGCTTCCATATAAGTTTCAGCTTTTCTGGGCCAGTGGTTCTTGAGAAGAAGATTTTCAAAGATTTTTCCTATATATTTCTATATAAAACTTTGATTCCCCATTGTGGCCCCGCCCTTCCCCCGGGGGTCATGATTTGAACAATTTAGAATCTACACTACCCCAGGATGCTTCCACATAAGTTTCAGCTTTACTGGCCCAGTGGTTCTTGAGAAGAAGATTTTTTAATGACCCCACCCTATTTTTGTCTTTTCTTGATTATCTCCCCTTGCGAGGGGATATGTCCCTTCATTTTAACAATTTAAATTCCCCTTTACCCAAGGATGCTTTGTACCAAGTTTGGTCAAAATTGGCCCAGTGGTTCTTGAGAAGAAGTCGAAAATGTGAAAAGTTTACAGACAGACAGACAGACAGACAGACGGACGGACGGATACGGACGACGGACATAATGTGATACCACCTTGAGGTCAGAAAAGCTCACTTGAGCCTTCGGCTCAGGTGAGCTAAAAAGCATTCCTTCGCAAAAACGCACATTGATTTTAATAGAAACAATGGCATTGCAAAACACAACATGACCCCCCCCCAAAAAAAAAATATATATAAATAAATAAATTAATAAACAAGTGTGTTTGTGAAACACTATGCGCCCGGCGGCAACAAAGTTAAAAAACCTATTTTTAGCATATAGGTCACAGTCAAGGTCACAAAGTCATTTGAAAGAACTTGAGTAGTGAAGTATGCATTCCAAATATGAAGTCTCTTTCATTCATGGTTCAAAAGTTATGGCAAAGGTTAAAGTTTGCAGACAAATTTTATACTAATTATACTCTTTCAAATGACCCAAGGTTAATGACCTTGTGACCTTGACTGTGACCTATATGCTAAAATAGTTTTTTTTTCCTGAAAACTTTAACCTTCGCCATAACTTTTGAACCATAAAAGATAGAGACTTCATATTTGGTATGCATACACCACTGATAAAGCTCTTTTAAATGACACCATGATCAGTGACCTTGTGACCTTGACTGTGACCAACTTCATTGCGATTCAACAGAAAAACTAACCTTGATGCGTTTAGTTTTTTCCTTCAGACGGTCTGCTAAGCTTTGTATTTCCTGGCCCGATGGATATGGCGACTGTCGGAACGAACTTTCTAAAATAAGAACTTTGTGAGGCGGAAATCGATCTGAAAAAGAGTAATAAGCAATTTAATTAAAATGAGGGAATATTAAAAGGGACTTAAATGTTCAACAGTTCAAACATGTCAGAGGAGCTAGGCTTAATTCTGTGAGTTCAATGAATCCAAACTTTGTAGATAGACATGTCACATATCATTTATGATTGATAATCTCCTCTGAAAGTGTAGATATATTTTGTAAGATTTGTACCAATCTCGGTAGTCATAATTTGGACGTATTTCTATATTCTAGCATATACTTGCAATCGGAACCTTGATAATGTAATGAATTTTGGTTATATTAACCAAGGAAAGCCATGTTCACCTTGTTTAGGACTCGTGTGGACTTTCAAATTAACTTTTGATCCTTTGATGTTTACCGTGCATGGTATAGAGAAACTGTATTACTATGAAAATGTTTAGATTGATAATATGTGAATTAAATATACCTTTAGTATTTGAAAGGATTATAATAAAATAATATTATGCATTTTTTTTTTTACAATTTAACCTTTGGTACATAAAACTTTTTTTTTCTAATGAAATTTCGATATTAATTTTAATGCTAAATGGTAAAGGTAAAGTGGAAATGTCATTGATAACGAGCACCACGGAATTAAGTCTAATATGGTTGTTACATGAGTTGTTTTTTTTTTTAATTAACACATACACTAACATCTAAAATAATCTTTGTTTGCATATTTGAATTTATAGTAGATCATAATAATTCTTTTTAAATGGGTATGGGTGTTTTCAAACATTCAAAAATAAATCAATATAGATAATTGAGAAGCTTTTTTACTACAAATTTAAAATTGTCTCAAAATTCCCAACATAGGTAAAGTTTGACATCAGGGTATATCATTGTGTATTAAATCACTCCCTGTGTATAGGGATTAGGAGACAAACGGCTACAGGTAGACTGCTAGCCCCATAGGCATTCACACCTGTTCAAAATACCCCCCCCCCCCCTCACCTGGAATTTACCACCCGGTAAAAAAATTCTACCTTTAAAGTTTTTTGCGGACAGACAAACAGACAGACAAACAAGGCAAATACAAGTACTATACACCCCTAATCTTCGATTAAGTGGGCATAGAAAGACATGGGTGTAGCTAGAAACTGGGAAGGGGGCACGGCGCCTTCGTGCCCCAGTTATTTTACCAATATATAGTAATCTATAGAAACAATGAAAATGTAAAGTACTTTATGCCTTTCAACAATACAGTCATGAAACATCTAAAAGTTTTTATTACATTTTCATGACTTTTTTTTACTAAACAAATGCTGGACCAAAATTTTACAGGATACCTTTACTTTATAAATCTCCATTAACAAACTTGCTTTGTAAACTGTTAACATATCATTTTCTTGTTATTACATCATATGTGTTCTGCATTCATTGAGTTTTCAAAATAAAATTTTTTCTCAAAATAAAATTTTTTCCCTACCTACCTACCCTAATTTTTTTGGTCAGGGGACAGGAAACAAGAGTATATTTTCTTTTGGCCTCATGAAACATCTGATGACCTTTTTTCTCACTGGAAAATTTTGCTTGGTAGTGCCCCAAAACTGAAAATGTTTGCTACCCAACCCATTCCAACTGAAAGTGTTTTCTGCGGCCTGAAAGTTCAAATTCTCTATTCCCTCTGTGGCATTTCCTTAAGCTTTTACAAACTGACAGGCCACACTGGCTTGATGGAACTCCAAACAATGCTTATATAAATATCAACACATGTGTCATGAGAGATGCATAAAGATACATATATTTTAACAAGTGTATTCCAATCACAGTAGTTATCGACACATAAAAATATAAGACCTTACCCATGACGATGCCTCTCCTATAGCCTGCAGTGGGATGGGTGAAATTTGAGAAAGTGCGGGAAATCAGTTGGTCGGCTGCTGGAGGTCGTCTGCTTTGTAATATTTGTAACAGTGACAGGAATTCGTGCCGCTTGTGAAGAATTAACTAGGTCAAATTAGTTAAGATTCTTAGATGGTGACCGGCAGCTGAGAGGAATAAATTGCAACCTTTCTAGTTTAATTTCCCTTCTCGCAAATTTTACTGATATTTCAGCAAAATGTTTTACTTGTGTTATAGCAGGAAAGTTCCTTAGCCCTTTCATAGGCGTAGTCACAGGGGGAGGGGGCAGCGGGGGGCCCACCCCCTCACTTAGTGTAGAACAAAATCACAGCTATGTAAACCTAATTTTATGGCAAAATTTTATTTATAGCAACAACTGAGAAAGCATTTCTCTTGAAGTAAGAGTAATTAATATAACATTGTAAATCTGTCAAGACCTCTTGTGTACGCATGTTTGGGATAGGGAGTGCGGGTCATAAATTTGACCTAACTTTAGAAGTTTCTGTTTCTCTCAGCATCTGTTATCTAACAAAATTAAATGAGAATCACAAGCTGCCCCCTGTGCTGACATCTAAAATTAAAGTCATTAATTATTTTTTGTTTAATACATAAGGCCGTGCAGAAAGATTTGTCAAACCTCTGGATTTCTTAATTACTAGTATTTGCTGATTCATCAGTGATTATAAATATGGCTGCAAGCAGTCTGACCATCTCTTTCAACCAGTATTAAGTTTTTTATGATTATTTTGTTTTGTGTTATTAGCAAAATGATTAAATTGATATAGAGTTAATACAGTCATAGATTAATCTGTATAAGACCACACATTCACGCTATTCTTGAGCACTATTTGAAGTCCTTTCATTCAACATAGACAGGGGCCTGATATAAAATGTTTTACAATTATTTTCTTTGTATTGTTTTACATCTGTCTTGGATTTGCAGGCACGTAGCAGCCTCCTCCCCCCCACATTTCCCCAAGATTACTATAGGCCTTTACAGATAAGATAAGATTAAGATTTATTAATTTGTTTAAGAAACCAATTTGGGGCCATCAGGGCATACAAGTAATAAGAAAAATACATACAAGAAGAAATTCAAAATTGATAGCAGCAACTAACAAAAGATAAATGATGTTACAGCAGTTGGGGATTACAACATATATAATCAACATACTGTAAATGTAAGTTTTTTTTTTTTTACTAGAGTATAAACATTATTACTCTTTTGTATTTATTTATTTCTTTGTTTAACATTGCATAATTTGCTATTTCTTATTTACACATTGAAAGGCTGATTGCCCCCCCCCCCCCACTTAATACTACATGAGATAGATAACAGGGAAGAAAATTGGTATTGAAAGGAGTTGGCACTGAAAAAAATTTGGTCTCAACCCCCCCCCCCACGAAATCGCATGTTCGAGTTTGGGTAATTTCCCTTTTTTTTTTATTTTTTTTTGCTTGTCAACTTTTCCCGGTAAATAATTTTTTTTTCTCTGGTGCCCCCCCCCCTACTTTCAAAAACGATGCTGCGTGGCTGATTTGAACCTCCCTCCCCTTTTAAGTTTGTGACTTTATAACCAATTATTCTTTTCACTTTGAATAACGAGTTGATTTTTTTTAAAGAAACCTTTTGATATGACAAAAACTACATGAGATGTCATGTCAAAATTGCAGTTTAACAGTTTGATCGAGAGGCTCAGGCAATCAGTTTAGCGCCCCCTTTCCCGTTCCCCTTCCCTTTGCAATCACAACTATACAGTCATGTACATATGAAATGTTTCTCTAATTAAACTATTTCGATATACAGTCAGTGACGTAGCATCGAATTTGAAAGGGGGAGGTGGGGGGCAACCAGATAGAAAAAAATTTTACTCGTCTGAAAAAAGTTGACAAACAAAAAAAGGGAAATTTGCTAATAACATTGCATAATTTGCTATTTCTTATTTACACATTGAAAGGCTGATTGCCCCCCCCCCCCACTTAATACTACATGAGATAGATAACAGGGAAGAAAATTGGTATTGAAAGGAGTTGGCACTGAAAAAAATTTGGTCTCAACCCCCCCCCCCCCCCCCCCCCCCCCCCCCACGAAATCGCATGTTCGAGTTTGGGTAATTTCCCTTTTTTTTTATTTTTTTTTGCTTGTCAACTTTTCCCGGTAAATAATTTTTTTTTCTCTGGTGCCCCCCCCCCTACTTTCAAAAACGATGCTGCGTGGCTGATTTGAACCTCCCTCCCCTTTTAAGTTTGTGACTTTATAACCAATTATTCGTTTCACTTTGAATAACGAGTTGAATTTGTTTAAGAAACCTTTTGATATGACAAAAACTACATGAGATGTCATGTCAAAATTGCAGTTTAACAGTTTGATCGAGAGGCTCAGGCAATCAGTTTAGCGCCCCCTTTCCCGTTCCCCTTCCCTTTGCAATCACAACTATACAGTCATGTACATATGAAATGTTTCTCTAATTAAACTATTTCGATATACAGTCAGTGACGTAGCATCGAATTTGAAAGGGGGAGGTGGGGGGTGTGGATAGAAAAAAATTTTACTCGTCTGAAAAAAGTTGACAAACAAAAAAAGGGAAATTTGCTAAACGAAAATCATTTCTTTGAGGGGGGGGGGTGTAGAGGCCAACATTTACCACCGTGAACATCTTTCAGTTTCAAATTTCCCAATTTGGATAGAATGCACTTTACCGGTACGGCCGCCATTTTGATTCTAGATCCGCGCGTGAGAGTGCGCGGCGTAAAAACTTAGCAACGTATCAACTATGATGGGCGACGCCATTTTGTTGTGTAAGAAACTCTCGAAGGGAGAAAAAAAGATATCTAAATGGGTTTTCGCTTTTTTAAGCGGAGGTGTGGGGGCGGCAGCCCCCAATACGTAAAAATAAATAAAACAAACTTACCTTAGTCGTTAGATAAATCTGCGTTAAGACTCGGGGCCATACGTACGTGTCACTATACATGTAGAACCATTGTGTCTTATTTTGATGAGTTGTAAATACGTTTTTATGGGTGATGAAGGAGATAAACGTCAATTTTTAATTATAGCTACTATCCTAGTGCATTCTTGTTTTAGTAGAGATTTCCTTTATAACTGCATTCCATGTGGTCTCAATGATTGTAAAGTATCCAGTGTTTTGCAAATTGAAATAGATAAATTTTAGTTCGTAAATCCAGGATTTACTGCAGCTCTGTTTCCAGAAATCTAAGATGTGTCTCTTACGTTTCATTTTTCTTATACTGCCGATTGCTGTTTCTCGAAACAAGACCGTCCTCACTGCACGTTTACAAGTTTTGCCCCCCCCCCCCCCCCCCCCCCCCACTTATTCAACATTTCCATAAACATTTATCGCTAAAATTTCCAAAAATTCTAGAATATTGCAGTCAGTCAATTAAAAATATCCATTCATAGAAAACACAACACAAATCATCTTAAATAAGGTGCATGATGAATCACTGTTTACAATCAAATAGAGTGGAAGTCAAACTTTCTATTTCATGTCACCTACCCTGACCAATCACAGCACTGAAATAAGTCACGTGCTTAACAACGTCACGACTTTGGAATGTGGCCGACAAAATGAAAGCCAAAGGTTTGTTTTGAAAGTGCTTTTAGTTTTAATTAATAACTTCGTTAATTAAACGAAGTTTATTAACATGAAAAATGACGAGGAATTCAAAAAATAGGTTATTTTTGCATTTTATTGCCTTTTTAGCGAAATCGTCACGCTGACGCGTGACTCTCTTATAGAGAAAGAGCACGTGCTATTTCCATGTTATTTGGACGTACCGGTAAAGTGCAGTTGTCCTTCTTCATACACTTAAGATATTGCCCTTATATTTCTTTACTTTAGCCAAAAGTGGGGGTCAACCAGCCATTCAATAAACATGATTTCAATAGTAAATAAAAAGTGGGGTGGGGCAGGTCCCCCTGCCCCCTGTTGCTACGTGCTTGAGTGACAGTATTGCAGCAAACTGTTACCCCATTCTCTCTCCCTTTCTCCTTTTCACAGTTTTCGCTCTATTGGCCAGCATTGATCACGTGATCTGACCCTGAATGAGTTCAAATTGGAGTCCAGCTCGAATAGCAGTGATTTGATGCTTCTGGAAAAATCTTCCAAGCGACTTATCAAAACATTCTTTCAGCATCAAAGATACTCAAGAAGATTATTTCAAAATGAGGTAAGATTATCTTTTTTTATTTTGCACAACATTTTTGTTGAAATCGTGAACACCGGTGAGTACTCGATTTTTCCTGCCGCCTTTTCAAGTCACTGTCCAATATTAGCCACACATGCATTCAGATTTGCTTACGATATATTTGTTTAAATTATGACCATACAATGTATAAGTTTAACCTATTTATTAGTTTTGTGTAATTCATACAGTTTAAAGGTGTAATTTTAGCGGGAACGTCTTCATGCATGACTGCACTTGCTCTCAATGGGAGAGGTGGGAGGGGATTGCATGAACATTTCCTTCCATTCAAAATAAAAACAAGTGTCAACAAATACGTGTAAATTTTAACAACAATAGTAAAAAGGTCTTCGTTGTACATGTAGTGATGTGCTTAATTATTCTAGAGTTGCCTTGAAATATTTGAAAGTTTTGAAATGCAAAAATTATAATTTAAAATAAATATTAAAAAAAAAAAATTAGAAAAATTGTCCAGAAAATCCTACTCTGGGGAAGGGGATGTAAAATGATGAAATTTAACTTGAAAATAAAAAACTTTGAGAAACAAATTATTTTACACGTTGACCTGATCAGGTCCAGCACAATACCCTGATGAAGGTATATAGCTTGATAAAGCTATATAGCTTTATCAAGGTATTACAAATACCTTGATCAAGGTATTTTATGTAAAGAAAATACAAAAAAAATTCTTAAAAATTAAAATTTAAAAGTCGAATTATGAGTTGTGCTCAGTGTGTCCACTCATGCATGAAAATCACTCTGGTATCAAAAATACAGCATAACAGAACGTCTCCTCACATGACATGCTTTTATACTGATTTCTTTGTGTTTGAGTACTTAATTAACATGCATGGGTGAATTTACTGACAACAATCAGAAATCGACTTTCAGTATTTAATTTTTTAAGAATTTTTTTGAATTTTCATTACAAAAAATACCTTGATCAAGGTATTTGTAATATCTTGATAAAGCTATATAGCTTTATCAAACTGTATACCTTTATCAGGGTAATGTGCTGGACC